GAAAACTTTCTTTATTTTCTCAATAGCATGCGCACATCGGTCACCCACAGAAAAGGCATAATTACAGGCAGCTAAGCCAAAACCAACAAACTACAGCTCAGCTATCGTAGAACAAACATATTAAATTCTCTTTAGTAAGAATATAATTTCGAAGCAACGTTGTAAAAAGTGCCGTTATATTACTGATTAACAAATGCTATGTTTGCATAGCATGTGAAGCCGGGATATGTGTGTATAGCAGCCAAATACCCCTTTATGAAGGGAGGCTATTCAAATGGCATTTGCGATCATATAACAGGGGACGAGGGGCCAAAGGGCCATGAAAGTGTGACGTAAAATGTTACATTCTATGAATGGTATTCAGTGTTACAAAGCAAAGGTGGAAAACAATTATCCTTGTGCCAAAACTAAATTTAATCGCAATTTCAAAAAATTCCTTGAACTTTTTTTAGCAAAACATCAAAATCTGGTTTTAGTTTGGTTGTGGCTGCATTAGGCAGGCCAGATTGAAGTGCGGCGGCTCGCGGACTGTTGTTTGCCCGTAGATGTTAATTATGGTAGAGGCCATATTATATTCATCCCTGTTTCTGATAAATTAAATGCCTGCCTAACTAACTTGCCATTATGGCCAGCGAAATGTAGAACGACAAAAAAAGCAACAACAAATACTTATATCAATGAGTAAATTATTCAGTCGTGTGTTCTAATCGGGAAGTGTGTGTAAGGCAGTTCAATGGCATTTGAGAACTTCTAAGTATCCCTATTTCTTGCTGGTTATATAACATCCAAATATCAATAACGATAAGGGTCATATCCCTATTTATAACCTAGTCTCTATATGGCAAGCCATTCAAAAGGCGATTGGAACCATATATCGCTGCCTCTAGCCTGTTTGACTTGTCTAACCATCTCCAATACTTAATAAAACATATTCAAATACCTTGTGAAAAAAATACCTGAAAAACTATACCAGAAAAATTGCTATCTTAAAAACAAAAAACCCAACTCAATATTGAATTGAAGAAAATGAAATTGTACTGTTAATACTGATCCAATATCTGCTACCATTTAAAGCCGAAAAATATGATAAATACTACAGCAGGGATGGCCAAAACCGAATAGTTCACTATTTCGAATACATTCGAAATTATTTTTTTCGAATATGAAATTTCGAATACTTCGGAAATAAAATCCATTAATTGAAGCTTATCTAAATGTATGTAGGAATTTCCATACAATAAGCAATGGAATAACTGCTATCTACAAGTTACAACCTAGCTATATTACCAGGAATTTCATATTTGCAGATTATTGCAGTATATATATATTTTATATACCATGAGTCATGTTAACAGAATTAAATTAATACGGCAATAGTGGTATCGATGATGGATTTGAATATTTGCGCAACACAAAATCATCCTAGAAAAACGCCCATATATTTAAATACCAACCATTATCCAAATTATTTGCCAAAAAGCGGGATAAAGTATGAGTTATTTTTCCGACTTGTGACAATTTTCTCGTGAGTACAAAAATACGAATCAAAAATTAATTATATTCCGAAACTTTACCACACATTTTAAGTCCTAAGATCGCCCTTGTATGTTTGAGTAATAATACTTTTATTATTCTATAAATATGAAAATAGGAATCAAAAACTATTTATAATCGGGTAGTTTGCAACCCAATTTATGTCCACAGATTGCCATGATATTGTGCCGAATATAATTAGTTTTTGATTCTCATGTTCGTACTCGCGAAAAATTGTCATAAGTCGGAAAAAGAATTTATATTTCATCTCGCTCTTGAGAACTAATTTGGATAATGGTTGCCATTGGTTTGTATTTAAAAGTATGCACTTTTTACTAGGATGATTTTGTGCTGCGCAAAATATTCGAATCCATGACCGATACCACTATTTAAAATGCCTTACCGATACCACTATTTAAAATGCCTTACCGTGTTAATTTAATTCTATTATCATAACTCAAATGTTGGTAAATCGGGCAGTTTACCACACATTTTAGGGTCACAGATCGCCGTTGCATTTTAGAATTATAATAGTTTAATTATTTTGTAAATACGAATCCGAAATTATAATTGGGCAGTTTACCACGTATTTCATGTCCACAAATACCTGTGATATTTGGTATTAATACTTTCATTATTTTATCAATATAAAAATAGGAATAAATATTTAATAAAATCGGTCAGTTTACCGCTCATTTTATGTCCACAGATTGTCGATACCAGTACCAGTCATGGATTGAATTATTTTGCGCAACAAAAAATCATCCTGGTAAAGGATCGATACTTTTAACTATCGTTATCAGAATTATTTGCCAGAAATTATTTTCTAATAAATCGACTTGTTTTTCCAACTTGTGACAATTTATTGGATATCATAACAATGACGGCTATAAATACCGTATTTCCCGGCTAATAAGTCTACATGGCAAATAGGACGATGTCTATTTTTAGCACTCCAAAAAGGGGTTTTTCCATAGGCCTCCAATAAGACGGGTAGAAAAAATTGTGTCCCTGTTGTTCAGTTATGCTGATATGCGCTAATAATTTTAAATGTTTAGAACCAGATCATGTTAGTTTGGTAGAATCATACTCACAGAATTAACTATTTTTAACAATTGAGCGGTAAATTCAAGTTGTAAAGCGGCAATCATTTTGGACAACCTATTAACCAGAATGTTGAAATAATTTTGGAATGTGATAATACACTGTACGTCCACGGGTTATTTCACAGCTGTGTTTTCCTGTCGTGTTCTGCTGAATCGGCGAAACGAAAGGGTCACAAATCACTTTATCTCGGTGACCTAGAAAAGCGACTTATTAGCCGGGGGAAATACAGTAATTGTCAATTTTTCGAGGTAATGGAAATGAATTTGTAAATTAGAAGCCTCGTAGACGAATGTCGGCAATGTCCACCCACGCAAACGTGCAAATGTGTCGCAACACTATGCGACGTACGGTCGCACAGAATAAAAACAATCAAAGTGCCGATTCATCGTCATTACAATACTTGAGACAGCGTAAAAATCCGTTTGAAGATTCCCGTAAAACGAAACACCACGTTCACGGCGAAAAGTGGCTACTATTCGGAATTATTCGAAAATCAGCCGAAAATGTATTCGAATAGTTTGATATTCGAATACATTCGAATATTCGATTCGTTTTGGACAACCCTGACTACAAGCCAAAAATGCCACTTCTTGTGAGAAATTAGTATCATACAGACAGGCAAAACAACGCATACGGTACTTAAAATCTATCTGCAACATACCTAACAGTAGTTAGAAAACTAGACTAGGAAGATGGACAAGGCAGGCCGAGAAAGCACAGCACAATCTTCATTGTAAAATGCTAATTCACCAAGTGAGTGGAATACCCCCTTTACACTGAGAAATAGTATAATACAGACAACATATTGCTTACTCTAAATTTATTCAGCTACTTAGAGAGCTGCTGAAGAAAAACTATTGCCTTAAACAGTAAAAACAGGACACAATAACAACAAATTGAAGAATACCTATTCCATATTCTATCATTCACAATATCAAAAATATTTCTTATACTGCAAGTCAATAACAAAGTGTAATACTGATTAGAATTTATATCATTAGATATTTTTAACCAATACAGTAAAAACTGCACACAGGACATACAGGCCTAAGCAACATACCGGAAGAACATTGGGCTAACAAGGTAAACAATTTTCGTTGGAAATGATAATCTATCAAGCTAAGTGAAAACAAAATATCACAACTGATTTCTTTTTACTGTCTAGCTAACGGCAGAAAAATGAAATGCTCGACTGGCAAGAGAACAGGTTGTGATGTTTAAAAGGTAAACATACTGTTGTGAAACACTAATCCCTTATTCGCTGACATATTGATTTTGTAAGAGTGAGGAGAAATTACACTTGACCTGATTTGACTTTGATTTATCAGTTTTAAAGGTTTATGTAAAAAATGTAATCTCTTGTGTATCATAGTATACATTGTGATAAGATTATACTTGAACTTAAATTTTTGTACATGAAAAACCAGTTTGATAAATTATTCCACCTTTTTACATGAGCTCTTAGTTTCTCATTTGTATTAGTTAGTAATAACTCTTTCACGGTAGAAAACATTTGTTACTGTGTATGATTATTGAGGCATTTCTTGTCAAAATTTCCATTTTTACATGGAAAATCTAGCTTAACATAAGTATTGCCTGTTCCCAATAAATTTCACAATATACTCTAGGGCAGTGGTTCACAACCTTCTCTTTTTTGTGGCCCAATTTTTGAATGTCTGTTGCCCATGTCAAAATGTCACTATGGCTCACTGGTTGAGAACTGGAGTTCAAAGGATACAGCCTATCTTTACAAAATTACCTATTGCTAATCTATAAATAACATCACATTAGAGTTATTGCTTCGCAATACTTTCAAACATAACAAAAAGAAACATTTCTATTTACCGGCAAGAGCCCTGAGAGCCGCTGTTATAGGCTTAAGGCTTATGCCAACTTTACTGAATCAAAATGATGCTATTCCATAAATAACATCATCTTACCAAACATGGTACACCCGAAGTATGTGTACCAGGTTATGGTTAGGTCATAATTTTATTCCGATTTTTCTCATTTTAGTTATATTACGAGTTCGAGGACTGTCTGTGTTAGCCAAGTGAATATAACCCCTGCCCATGGGTTTCTGTCCCTTTACACAACTTGATGTAAAGCGAACAAAATTAGTTACCTGCATATTGGTACACATACTTCTGGAGCGCCGAAAACATTGCTTCACAGTAAGCCACACTTATAAACCAACATCACAAAAAAGAAAATTTCTCCTTATCTGTGATAGCCTTGAGAACAAGTGTTCTAGAGATAAGGCCTAGCTATTCCATAAATAACATCTTAGAAAACATTACGCCACAACTCACAATAAAATCCCACTACTAAAATCTCACAAAAAAATCATTTCTCCTTACCTGCGAGAGCCTTGATTCTTGATCTTTCAAACAATCTTCCTGAACTGTTGTCTAAATCTTCTTCTTCTTCATATTGTACTTTGTCCCATCTTGTATCAACAAATTGTTCCATGCTGTATTGACTGTCCTCCATCATGAGTTTGTCAACTTCTGCTTGAGTTCTGGAAGTAAAGAGATGGTTAATTTTATTAAAAACTAAAAAAAGACATCCTTTTTTTAACCCACTCTGTCTGAAACAGATTGTGATATAACACCTCTTACAGAACCTCGACCTCAAAAACTGACATGGGCAAACTACCACCTGGGAGCCAAATCCGGTGACCGTACATTTGAACCCATGTACATTTGAACCCATGCGTATATCCACGGGTTCAATCTATATGCGGGTGCTAAAACCCATGGGTTAGGGTTAGTATGGGTTTAACTATCCGTGAAACAAAAAAAATTCCATAGGTGCAATAGCATACAGGTGCAATTGTCATGGGTTCAAATGTACGTGGGTTCAAATGTAATGGAACCACCAAATCCGACCCGTTGAGTAATTCAATCTGGTCCGCCTGATTTTAATTTTAATGTTTCAGCTAAATATAGTTCAAGGAATTTGTTGAAATTGTGATTAAATTTAGTTTGGCACAAGCCTTATTGTTCATAAAATGTAACTTTTACGTCACACTTACATGGCCCGCCCGCCAGTCTAGAATCTAGATCGGCAAACATTTTGACCCACAGTCCAAAAACCTTGTCCATTTCTCCTCTAAAAGTTGGAAATTCTGCCGGATTCTCTGATAAATGATATTTATTTGAACAAATAGATTGTTTTTATAATTCTTGAGTTTGATCAACCCAATACCTTCTGATAAACCATACAAAAATGGCTTGATCAAACTTGAATTTGAATGAAAAAATAGATGAAATTAGATTCCGCGGCTCTCAAAAGCTTTGCTAGTTTAGAATATGTCTGGTTCAACTTCACTCAGAACAAGGCACTGTAAATAAGGATGGGAACTACTGCACAGGAGCATAGCCAAAAATTTTCAAAGAGGTGGGGGGGGGGGTTGTGAAATATCCAACTGGCAAGTTAAACTGTATCCGTTAGCCTGCACGGTCAGAAAAGGGGGTATACAGAAAAGTCCTTTCTTTAACATTTTAAAAGGGGAGGTCTAACCCTAACCAGAAATTTCACAATGGGGGGAGGATATACATACAAAGGGGGTATATAGAAAAGTCCCTTTTTACATTTCAAAAGAGGGGGGTTCCGACCCTCAATTCTCACCCCGCCCCTACTGCGCCCCTGCCACTGCAAAAAAGAAATATGCAGATAACTGCAAAATATTATAACTTGACTACTTACAACTGAGCACCAGGTGTGATGACAAATTGTTGGTTATAAATCTGTTGTCCTTGCTGTTGTTGTTGTTGTTGTTGATATTGACTCTGGGAATTGGAAATGAAAAAATAAATTGGAGCATTTGCCAAAATGATAACGAAAAGAGCTATGGGGCAATGAATAACACCTAAATTAAGTTATGTTCTAAAAGCACCTGTTCTATTGCCCCAGTTTTTGAAATAACATAACTTTTCTTCACATCAGTAGATCCGTCAATATCAGTCTCAAATACTCGGCCACTGTTTGTACTAGATTTCTGTGTGGTGGTAGTGATGTAGACACGACGGTCTGCCGTCTGCAAAAAAACAAAAAATACCAAAGTTTTTAGCGATTTCCCAGATCATACCAATAAGGAATTTCTGGTGTTTAAAGAACAGTCATGATTCTTGATAGCAGCGGTTATCAAATGGTGGGGCGTGCCCCCTCCAAGGGGGGCGTAGACATTTTTCCGAGGGGGCGTGAAGCTGGATATTTTTGAGGCGGGGCACTAGACTCGACAAATTCTCAAAAGGGGGCGTGGCTTAAAAAGTTTGAGAACAACAGGTCTATATGTTTAGCTTTTGATATGTCAGACACCTTGACATTTTAATAATTAATAGTTTATATATGATAAATAGAGTTTAAAAATGAATTTTGAATTCATGCGTAGTTGTAAACAAATGACTTTTTCTTTGAGGCTGTACTTCTGCAGCAAACTTATCAAGTCTGTTGCACTGACAAATTTTGGTTAATGGTTTCATTTGAAATGAGACAAAAAATTACCTGTTCAGCAGGAGGCGATAGAGATCCGTGGAAAGACGCAAATGAACTTCCAGAATTACTTGGTGTCGAAAATTGTTCAAGTGTGACCGGATCAGAAGAATGGTATTCTGATGTCACAATACTTTGTTCACCCTGTTGATTGGTTGTCGTGGTTTTTCGCTGTGTTACTGTTGTAGTTGTTGTCCGATACTGATGGATTTCCCCTTTTCCTGATGAGTCAATCTGCAAGCAAATAGCCAAGATATATTAGTTAGACCAGCGGTCCCTAAAGGTCGGCGCTGTGGCGCACTAGTGGTAAAACCCACTTGCTGCAATTTCTCGACCTGCAGTTTACACGAGTGATTTTTTTAGTATTTTCAAAAGAAAATCAAGCAGAGATGAAGAAGGAAAATTGACATTACCTTTGTTCTTTAGGCCTATGAAGGCATACAGTACACATTAACAATCACAAAATTGAGTTTTAATCATGAAGCTGCAATTTTTTTTTATCTTGTAAGTTCGGTGCAAGTTTTTCCCCGATAATTTGGCACTGCTCGAACAAAAAATTCGAGAGCATAAGCTATAGCTGATTATCCAGAGGCTTTTTTTGGAGTGACGTTTTAAAAATGCTTCATCAAAGCATTATCCTGAACATAATGTAGCAAAGTTTAACGCAAATGAAACCTGTTGAAAGGTTGTTGGTTTAAACTCAGTGGTTGATTCTTCAACGACGACGAATCCTTGTTGTTTCAGTTGTTCTGGAGTCAAAGACGTCACATTGAGACGCTCCTGAAAAAGGTAGAAAAAAATGATGCAAACAACTGTGGAACCAGCTATGCAATCAAAGCTGTACACTTTGCCACCACTTCGGTGCTCCAGAGGTATGTGCACCAAGATGGCGCACAACTTGAACATAGTATGTGCATCAGGTTATGGTTATCAAGTTGTGTGCCATCTTGTACACCAAGATGGCGCACAACTTGAACATAGTATGTGCACCAGGTTAGGGTTATCAAGTTGTGTGCCATCTTGGTGTACATACTTCTGGAGTGCCCAAATTTGCCTAGTGGCTCTAGCATAGCGGAATTGCCACCATACCACCTGTGTGAAGTGTGAAAAATATTGGTGAGTGCAAGCCTTTGCATTGTCAAAGCTTAGTATACATGATCTTTAAGTTTCATGGGAAAGTTTTGATGAAATTTTGACTCTGACATACGTGGTTGTGTTCTGTAATCTAGCAAAGCTATCAAAATAATATAGCAAGCATCGAAGCATTAATAAATGTGTTTCTGTGTATGCTTTTCACAGCTGCTAGTACACAGAATGAAAATAATAGCAAAATGCTATTTCGTTGTTCTTGAATAAACATTCACACTCCAGCACAGCTGACAAAATTTATCACGAATACGTTAACAACGAGAGGATAATCAAAGATCAAGTTTAACAATACAGATTACAAATGGACCCGTCAGGGTTTCTCATCTATTTCATCTATTACTATACAATATGTACCAATATTATTATATGGATGAAAACACGCGATGGAGAGACTATATAACAAAGAAAAGTGAATATTAAATAAAATGTAACTACCATATATGAACGAACAAAATGATATATATTAATAAGATTCACTACATTTTAAAAAAGCTTTCAATGTGATGATTGCATGATGAATAAACATGGAAGAGATGTTTCAAAGTCAGCTCTAGATCACCACCAAGTGGTGAAAGTATAAAAATTCAATTGGATAATTGCAAATCATCAGGATGCAAGTCATTATGTAAAAAACACATCCAATAACCAATATTATCAGAGAGAGATTTTTTATCTTTTCGCCAACCAAAATAAAACAACAGGCATATAGCAATAAAAAACGAATAACAAGTAATAAATCAGTTTGGTATAGACAGGAGAGAATGATACAACCAGATGGTCATCAAAGTCAAATCCGCCCTTCAATCAAAACTGTGTCAGGTAGTACTATGTCCAGAAGTACCATGAGAGTCCAACAATGCAAAAGCATAGGAAGTTGATTAGCATGACAAAACCTTCATTTGCACTGGTTCTTTAAACTTTTGCCCTGAACTAGGCTCCAGACAAGATCTGGGAGGGATAGTAAAGGATTTATTTATCCCAGGGACGCCGATAGTCGATAAGACGGCTTAATCATATATGGCGAACCATGGCCACTCGTTCGGTTACCAGTCCAATGTCAGGTATGGAATTAGTAAGCCAGTTATTTGTTTTCGGAAGCATGGACTTGATGGTGAAGGAAGCTATAACAGATCAGCGGTTACGTGACCACCCTATGGCAACAAGGAGTCCAGCAATCCTCTCGCACATGAATTTAAAAAAAAAAAATTCTCACTGATTGCTAAATGTTTGATCTAATCAGTGGTATTATTAAAAACCACAAAAAATTCCTGAAATGCCAGTTTCGTTTATTAGACTAGATTCTTTGCAGTCTTTTCAACGGCTGTGCGTGTTTCTCAATGCTAGATATTAAAAATCACCCAATTTTTCAATGTTATTAAACTCTGATTTTAAATAAGGGCTTTTTCAAATGGTCAGCAAAAAATAATTAGAAGCCATACTATCCAGTAACAACGTGCATTTACTGAAAAATAATAAATTCCTCAGCTAGTTTACTATATCATTATGTATCATAATTACTAGACAGAAACACAGACTATTCCATCATAATTAGCAGAAGATATAATCTGCATGAACCAGTTTAGCATGAAAATAATTTGTTATAAAGGAATTTACTTTGTTTTCTGTGAACGTTATTCGCAAGTATGTACTTGATAACTTCATTGTGTGTTTTGGTTTCTATTTTGAATGTTATTTGAATTCAAAATTTCAAATTTTGGATTTTAAAAATATTTTTTTACTCAAGCCATACAGTATGAACTAAAACAGTTGCAATAAAATAACAACACTTTGCAATATTGAAAAAAGGGAGACTTAAAACCATTTGTGGTTGTAACCCAGCCAAAATACAAACGTGAAAATGTGGTGGGGAGTTAAAATACAACGAACATTCTTGAGCTTTCAACTGGAAATGAGGAGTTTTTTATTTGCCATGGTCAATTTTTGGTATACTCGATGAAGCTACTAGAAAAAAGGTTAACGTCAAAAGAAAGATGAGGAAAAATTAGATTTTCAATAGGCATTTCAAATTGCAACGCCAATGGAATTGGCCAACAGTGTTGTGACCGAAATATCAAGTGGTGTTATGCCAATGGTGAAAAGGAGCAGTATTTTTCTAGAAAGCAACGACTTAAAACCTTAAAATGTAAGAACTGTGGTAAAACTGCACACGATTTCAAAAATTGTCCTACAATATCGAATACATTCTAAAACAGGGCCCCACAGGGGACGTTTACAATTTTTCGAGAGGGGATGATGCTAATTGAAAATAAAAATACTTGTTAGATTTGATCTTGCCCGCCTTATTTTGGATATTTACATTTCAAAACTTTTCATTTATTCCATTATTTACATCCCATCCACATATTTTCAACATGTTTTTTGATTAAAACATACTCTCGCCTTACTATCTGGTATTTGTAGCTTATTATTAGCTGGTTATTTTTGAGGTAGAACACAAGACAAAAGTGACAAGGGGGCGTGGCTCAAAAAGTTTGGAAATCACTGTTTTTAAACGATATAAAAACATTGAATAGATTATAAATTGGGTAACGATCAACAAAAACACATAGAATATAATGAGTATAAATAGACAATAAATAATAATATTTTGTGATGCATACATGATACATCCATTATGCAGTGAAATATCAATCAATTATTCCTAGCTAAAGCCCAGAACAGAACAGTAAGCTCAAGTACTTCTGTATGCATTACATCATCACCATTGGCATTCCAGTCTATTTGGAAACTTAACTTAAACATCAACCAAGCATGATCTATAGATAATGAGTTTATTTTAAGTATTCCCCATACTTGGTCCTGTCATAATTTATTAATGCCCCTCATTGATAATGTCAAGTAGTCTACAGATCGCAATTAAAAGTAGTGTTCCCATGGAGAAAATGAACAATGTTCCCATTGAATAATTGAAATTGAGAATACTCTATGACAGGGTTTCCCAAACTGGGGTTCGTGAGGACTGTTCAGAGGATCCGCAACGATATGAAAAGGGTCTGAAACATGAACAAAAAGATCATATTTTTATCGAATTGCTGTTAGCCTATCAGTATTTAATGTCAGTATGTATGAATTCAGAATTTTATGAGTTTAATTTCGTCGAAGGAAACATCATCCTTCTTTGTTGGTTATGCACAGAAATTGATACGACATAGGATGGGGGATCGTCAAAAATACGATTCACAAACTGTTCAGTGAATGGTTTGGTGAAATTTGATCAGAATAATATGGTTTAGATAATTTCAATTTGTCTTTGAAGATTAGCATAAAAAACGGTAGTCATGTAGTATGTGTACCAGGTTAGGGTTAGGCCATAATTTTATTCCAATTTTCCTTATTTTAGTTCTATTAAGAGTTTGGGAACTGTCTGTGATAGCCAAGTGAATATACTCCCTGTCCATAGGTTTCAGTCCCTTTACACAACTCGCAAAGAAAATTAGTCACCTCCATATTGCTAAACACACTTCTGGAATGCCAAATTTCTATTATTTAACCATAAATTGACTCAAAAAATGCTACGCAAGAAAAATGTAAGAAATATTTGAGCAAACAAATTATTTATCAATGTGCACACTTTTACTATAGCAATTCCCAAGGGAACACTTAAAATATTTCTATTGATAAAAGCAGATGAATATGGATTCAGTGCTAAGCGTAATCTCAATTCTCAATATTCACTAAATGGAAATGAAAGTGTTTATCTTAGGATAAGTTAGTTAGGTATGTTCCATGGATGCTACACTGATCTTTGACTCCCTCCAATTGCCTAGTCTAGTCCATCACAGCTAGTTCTAGAATAATTTTTGATTTCTGTAATTACCGTAAATTAAAACTCTTATGACAAAATGATCATTATTTGACTCATACATAAATTTAAGAAGCACATCTGAAAACTAACCAATAGCATGCAAAAACGCGAAACCAAGGTAATGTTTAGTATGTTCACAACCATGCCTTCAAATGTACGGTCACCTACTACTACTTTTGACAACACCTTTCAATCTAACATATGTACGTTTTGTTCGCTTTCCCGATTCTGTAATCAGTTTTAATTATTTTGATTTTGTCAACTAGAGCCAAAATAAAGGCATACTTAATATGAACAATAAGTAGGTCACCATATGCTTATTAAACAAAGAATTCTTCTGAGTCTGCAAAGTTTGTTTTTCATGGAATTCCAGCAATAAAACCATATTTGTTCAACTCCCTTATTTATTTGCCATATCTTAAATTCCTTAAGGCAAATAGAAGGTTTCCATCCAAACAAACAAATTTGATTTTTAGTGTTAATATAATATTGTCAGATTACGCCTATAGCCCATTTTCTAATATTGAAAATATTGTTAATTCGGGTTTTAATGGCGAAATTTGTTGGAAATACCAGATAAATTGATGGGATTTGAATATAATAAAGCAGAATAATTTAGTGTTGAACATTCATTTGATTGATTTTCTAATCTTAGATTGTTGGAAGTTAAACCAAGCTATTTTTTTTCTGATAATCAGGCATCAAATGTAAAAAAAAAAAAAATTTGTAAAGATTGCATTTAAATAATCATGTTATAATCATATTAAATATTATATTATTATTTAATATTGAATATGGTTTCTATAAGCATTTCTATCAAAGCAAAAAACTCATTTTAATATGAATATCCTTATTAGAGACCAACATGGGCTATTAATGGCCAATATCAAGACATATGACTAATTGACTTGATGGTATTGGATTTCAGGAAGCAATGTTTTGGTATGATTTCCTATCAGTAGTGGATGTTCACACGAAATGGTTGAAATACCATTTCAACGGTGATGTCATAATTAGGAAGGGATTCTTACATTTACTTTGGATTATGATTTAATAATGATCTCCTGGTTGCAAACAGACTTTGAAGGATCAGGCATTAAAGCAAATACTTTATTGTCTCAAATATTCCAATCAATACTAATAATACAAATAAGCATGAATCAAAAAAATCATGAATGACCTAATTGTTTTATTTTGTAAAAATGGTGAAGTGTAATAGTTTTATTTGCTTATAATCCATTCAGGTTAGGAGCGGGGGTCTCAAACTTGTAATGTCAACGAAGGCACAAACAGTTTTCAAGATAATTTGTATTTTCATGGAATGTTTTTCACTTTCACTCTTAATAAGGACCTGTATAAGCAATCACCAATATATAAGAATATATTATTTAAGAATACATTTACTCCAGCATTGTCTACCCAGTTTATTATAGCCCTGGTTAGGTGAGGGGATTTGAACCAGATATGAGTAATCTGCGATGCCAACTTTGTTTTTCTCCTACAGTCTATAAAAATTCACAAACAACTGATCTTTAACACTTGGCCGAAGATCTCCCAGAACCCGAATTTCACAGACTGCTTTTGCATTATTTATGCATGCACAATTTGCACCATGGATAAGAGAAAGAAAAAAAATAGCAAAGAATTCATGAGTGAACATGAATAATTCAACATTCCTATTTTCTCAAATCGATGTCTCAGTTTTTTTGTTTTGTTATAATTATATTTGATCAAGCGTAGTGTATATATAAGTTAAACCTATTCAGTGTGGTGTATGTGTGGGCCATGTTTAACCGATTTAGAATAGAAATGGATCTTATGATGTAAATACTTCAAGACCACAGTGAAGGTATGTAATTAGGTATGACATAATGACTATTGTCGAAAGCTAAAAACAATACAGGCGTTCTTATTTTGAATGGAACATATATTATTATTCGTACTATTTCTGAATGAAGAGGGCTCAAGACAAGCACACTACATAGAATGTTTTTAAAAGAACCTAACTCTTTTCTGTCTGAAATCCAATATCATTTAAAATGGCCAAAATATTCATTTCAGTATATAAGACATACATCAAAATTACTTCAATCTGGACACAGCCCAATATATTACACTAAATATGTAAGGAGGTGTTTTGAAAAAGCATGCGTAGAATTAAAGTGTTGTGGCATTGTAGTCTAAAAATAAGTCCAGAGAAATTATGGAAGAACGTAAGTACTGGTAATAGACTTCTAGGTAATACTTCAATCCTTAACTACTGTCAATTTGAAACCGATTAGCCCAGTAGAATAAATGAAGCACTTTTTGTTACAATAAAATAGCAACAACAAATAAACAAAAACGACATGTACTAGTTCCCTTAGTGTAAAACAAAGCACATAATATATGAAATGTGAAATATCTTGCTTTGTAATATTTGTCAATCAGTTTCTCTACCACAATATAAAATATGTCACCAATAGCTTTATGTCATCTCCCTTATGGGAATAGTCACACACTTTTTAATTGTTACATTGTTAAATAGAGCAGTGTTCCCCAAGGACTAATAAAATGATTTCTGCTTTTTGATTAAGATGTCATGAATACTATCTTTTTCCATGAGGAAAGGGACAATTCTGAATAAACCTGTTATAATATGTCAAACCAATTGGATAAGTTAAAAATTAGGTACTCCCATAGTGTGTGTACCAGGTTGGGGTTAGGCCATGATTTTATTCCGATTTTTCTAATTTTAGTTCTAACACGAGTTCGAGGACTGTCTGTGTTAGCCAAGTGAATATACCTCTGCGCTCTGCCCATAGGATTTATTCCCTTTACACAACAATATTAGTTAGGTACCTGCATATTGGTACACACACTTCTGGAGCGCCAAAAATTCTATGTATGAACATCTCCATAATGTTTATCTGAACCTTATTACGTTATTAAATATGATTTCTATAGATTTCCAATGTGCAAAAATGCAGATATGTAGGGTAGGAAGCAGAATATTGTGTATTGAACTGTTGTGTATTGCATGTTGTGCACAGTCCTTTCTCCTTTTTAACTTTCTACTTCTGTATGTAACAGTTGCCACAAAGATGCTTGGATGAGATAGCATTGAAGTGACGAGCAGGAATAACATAATCTCACAACAGAATAGAAAGTTTGTGTGAATTTTTCTGTGGAGCCCAACCCATTTTGGGAAATGATTGATCAAATATTGCCACAACAACATCCAGAACCAGCAAGTCTTGAATAATCCGTCACGGTGAACACTATTATTACAGTCTATTGAGCACAGCATGTGGTTATTGTCACACATTTAAAAACCTTCCTCTCTTGGGAGTAACACAGGGTGTCCATGAAATCCAGAAATTTTTACCATTGCAAAGGGAATTTATGGATATGTGCAGAGCGCAGAATTTGATTTATAACTTTTCAAAATAGTTTTTAAATAAAATCAAAGTATGAGCCAAACTGACACATTTGACATAATTAACCAGCACAGACAAGCTATGTTTCCATCCAAAATGTACACATATCATCACTAATAAACAAATATCAACAACAACAGCAACATGCTTTTTAAAAAACTGGAACAGTAAAATACATAGAAACTGGCAACAACACAGAACAATAACAGCTGACTTGACAACATATACCTGGCAACAAGTGAATCAAAAATTAATAATTTGATTAATATAACGTAATTTTTTATTTAAAGACTGATTTAGAATATTTACTAATAGCAGCAGAAAGGCACACCAAACAATGACAGCTGAAATCTGCAACATGAAAAGCATTTGATTGATGATACTGAACAACAAGTTGCTTCAAAACGAACCAAAATGTATATCATCTAAAGCAGTGGATCTTAAACAGTGGGGCGCACCCCAAAAGAGGGGCGTAGACAATTTTTTGAGGGGGAATGTGGCTAATTGAAATGAAATTATTTGTTAGATTTGATCTTGCTCGTCTTATTTTGGATATTTACCTTCCATCCACGTATTTTCAATGTGTTTTTTGAATAAAACATACTTTTGCCTTACTATCCGTTATTTGTAGCTTATTATTAGCTAGTTATTTTTTAGGTGGGGCGCATAACTTGAAAAATTCTAAAATTTATATGCGGGGCGCTGCTTAAAATGTTTGAGAACCACTGGTCTAAATTTATTATATTTGATTTGATAAAGTCCTTATTTTCTTTACGGTAAATATTTGGAATATTTACTAACGGCATGGACACCAAAAGCAACAAACGAGCGCACCCAAACAATGACAGCATATGAAGATTATGATTACTTGCTTTAATCCAGGGTTGTTCAACATATTTTGTCGTCGGGCCATATTGAAACCTCAAGTTGGGCCACACAAAAAAATTAGTATTCCATCTGAATTCCGACAAAAAACTATCACAATGCAATATTTAACCCAGTGACAAAGCAATTTCTATTCATGTGAGTGATTAGGATGTTATGTTTGATGAGAAAAAATCTGAGTGTTGACAAGGCCCATAATAAATGACTTTGCTCAATTTGGCAGGTCAGGTGTTGGCCCGTGGGTAGCCTGTTGCACATCCCTGCTCTAAGCGAACCAAAAATTGGGATATATTCAAATCAAATCAATAAAACCTGTTTCATCATAACTTATTTTTTCCCTCCGAAAATCGATAATAGAATCAATATTCTGTTACTGTGCTTATGACGAAATTCAGAAATAAAAAAGTATTCAAAATGGTAAATTAGGCTATTCTCTTTTAGCATTTTTTCAAAGCCCAAAGTTCATTGTTGCAATGTTGTTTAATGTGAGTTGATGTTAGACTTATGTCACCCTTAGCAGAAGCTGACATTACTATGACATCACAACGAAGCATGCGAGATGATATTGTGACACAACAAAAACTTACTTCTCTTTCAAACGGCTCCATTTTGGCTAAAGAAACAGACATTTTATGGTTTTAAACAAATCCTTGTGAGAGCTTGCAAAATAGATTTTAAAAAGATCAATAAGTTATAAAGAAATAAGATATTGTATTTAGAATAACTTCTTGAAAAGAGCAAGTTGCGTTTAATGGCTAAATTAATCTTTTTGAATAATGCATTATACAACATATCTTGACTCTGAACAAGGATCTGTAAAAGCGGCCACTGATTTATACGTAGACTACTATTAAAAAGGGTGGAATTATTCTCAATTTAGCATTCCCTACCCAATTTATCGCACCCGTGGAAGTGGTGGACATTGTGTCTTCAAAAAATATCCAAATATAATAGAGACTAATATTTTTTGGCAGGACAGTAATGTTTCCCAGTTTTGCATAGCACCAAAAATATCTTCACTCTGAACAAGGCTCTGCAGGAGCAGCAACTGATACATAGATCACTATTTTCAGAAGGACAGGAATCAGCTTCGCCTACGCAATTTATTACACCCTGGTTGATAAAGAGGGGGACATGGAACATCCTACAATAAGCTCCACTCTGTTCAAGCAGCTAATGACACATAGGAGCTACATTTTTAAAGGGAGATTAGTCTTTCTGGTTCAGTATTGCCCATGCAATTCATTCGAACCTGGTTGAGTGAAATGGTAAATGTGGGATTCTTCCAAAAATACTAAATTCTTACTTATCAGTGGGTACTTATTACTTATTACTTATTAAGTATGTTGATAGGTATTTGTCTGTCTGTGTGAATGAATGTACATTCACCATAGCTCGTACCAAAAGCCTATTGATTTTGGATGAATTATGTCGTATAATTAGAGATGGGACACGCGGTGTCACTATGGAGTAAGAACGCATTTTTGGGGGATCCCCTAACTTTCGATCGATAAGTCTTCGATCTCTGACCGATATTCTTGTTTAGATCCTTGTTTGAGTGAAGATATAAAAAAACTCCTATAAATGTAATGGGCTTTATACTTCTAATATACTTCTAATAAAGCAAAGAAATCATGGAGCACCAAAGTTATATGAACTACTGCTCAAATTTTAAAAAAATGTTGCCTTCAACATGAAAAGTGAATCGATTAAGTAAAAATTAGTAAATTAAAAATAATGATTACCGGTATGTAAAATCCATGATCATTCAAGTGTTCAAAAGTAAACAAATTTTCATAAATTCCATAAATTATATCATAATTTAAAAAACATGGAATAATATTTGTATGATTGATTTATGATATTATAGCAATTGAAAATGCTTGTTCTAAATCTAAAGTACATGAAATATAATTAACTCTAGTAGACCGCAAAGTACTCTCTTTGACACCAGATAACTCTCGAGTGTTGCAAATATTGACAAACTATATCCGGACACACCTATGTCTGCCGTCTAACCGGTATATCCAAATAAAAAGCTTGTATCAATGGCTATTTATTCAAGAATGTGTTATAAGAAATTTAGAAACTTTTTGCTTATTAAAAGTCTAGTTAATGAAAAGCTGGTTCTTCTATTATTAATAATGATGCTTAAAGTGCACAACACGTCCTCTTGAAATTTTTTCATTAAAAATTTGAACATTTTTGATGGTTAGGTCCCGAAAAAGACGCGTTTTCAATCTCAAACTGAACGAAATTTACTCAAAAAACAGAAATTCTGATAGAGGTGTCGAGAAATTCAGTTTCGAGAAATGTGTGAAATAATTGGAAAATAATTTATTATCGAAATAATATAAATTTAAGAATCATTCACTTTTGTTTGGCAATTTAATTTAATCAAATTTTGAGCCATTTTGTCCCTATAAATGGGACCTTAATATTAAATGAGTCTTCATTGTTTTAATAATTGAATAAAACATTTGAAACCTTCTTGCATTACAAAAAAAATTAAAAATTACACTGAAATTAAACATCATGATAATCTAGAGGGAATCTTCATTAATATTCAAAAATATTGACAAAATAATGAAAAACGAAATTTAGAGCATAGTCAAATAGTCATAAACTATAACTAAATGAATCTTTAAAAATGTCCTCACCTGCTTAGCTCTTCACAAAAAAGTGCCACCTAGTGTCAAAGAATCCAGAAGATGACGAGATGAAGAAGTATTGCTTTACAACCAAGCTAATCAATTGTATTTTCATACACTAACATTTAAAACTGAAAGATATAAGAATTTTAGTACTTAGATGAAAAAATCGAAAAACAGGCATTTTGGGAAAAATTTAATACTGACAATACAATAATATGAGTTTTAGAATCACTTTCACTATTAAAGGCACAAAAACAGACTCAGAAATGGAAATCTCATACAAAGGAAAAGCAGCAAATGAATACTGTCTAAATCAGGGTGGTCCAAACCCAGGCCCGCGGGCCACATGTGGCCCGCAGCTTCATTATCTGTGGCCCGCATCACATTCTGAAAGTAATCAAAAAATCGCACTTTGTGTTGTTTCGTAATAAAATTAATCAGAAAAATCTTTTGACATATTGTTACATCAATAATGTCACTGAATGGACTAGTGTTATGGCTATCTGAGGCTAATAGCGAAGTTGAATGATGTGCTTGGCAGTCTGAATTGTTATCTGGCTTTCAACTTTTTGGTCGGAAATATATGCTAACAATATAGGCATCATAGAAAACTGAAAATCGAATGCGGATTCTATTAGCCCGGAATGGCTATGTCTGATAAATATGTGTTTGCACAATAAAAGTGTTTGTTTTGTATTGCATTGTTTACCTATTCTTGGCACTATTGTGGCCCGCGAACAATGCAGAAATAATTTTGTGGCCCGCAGAGCCGACAACTTTGAAAAACCCTGGTCTAAATGATATTTCATTACATTGCAAAATGCTATCTCTGACATGGGTAAAATACGGCACACGGGCCAAATTCAATCTGGCCTGCCTGATGCTGCCACAACCCAACAAAAACCAAATTTTGATGTTTTAGGTAAAAAAATAGCCCAAAGAATTTGTTGTGATTGCGATTGAATTTAGTTTGGGCTCAAATTGAATACCAAATATGGTGCTTCCGAAGTATTCGTATCAAAATGGCGCACAACCTGAACATAGTATGTGTATCAGATTAGGGTTGTTCAGGTTGTGCGACATCTTGGTACAAATACTTCCGGAGCGCCCCAAATATATTATAAGCTTCCATCTTTCTCAAAATGAATGCAAAAAATATTACGTTCCACCTTGCAGAATTGGAACTGCTTTCTTAAAAATAAATCTCAAATTTATTAGTGTAGAATGTTCAGACACCTTAATTGAGTGAACCTTGTCTAGACAAATTTGTAAATATTTACACGAAGATGTTTTCTTGTTTACATTCGTGCGATCAAAAAGATTTAGGAGATTTTATCGATCACCTCATACCCATGGCTTTAGCTAACAGAAATATTTACATTCAAATTGATCAATATACAGTATTGTGAGCATACAGGAAAAGATTTACTGCAAAACAGCCCTTTAACAGTGAATTTATAAAAATTTGCATATAAGCTGACCCTACAAATCATAACACGCTGCACCTACCACAAAAAAACGGTTGTAGAAGAGAATTACTGAAAATGATAACCATTATTCTTATGTTTAACTTTTATTACCAGTAAGTTATGCGCTATAGGCTGGCCCTTTAGTTTTTTTTGAATTTTTTTTTAATTCAAACTCTGCTTATATGTAAGGATATACAGATAAATGAAGAAAATTGTACACTCTAGTTGGCCACCGGTATATAAGTATAATAAATAAATAATAAAAAATACATCCAAGTTAATCCAACTACAAACATTTGAAATATGAAAATGAAAAAATACATTTTAAAGGCACATCTCATGCAGCAGCGCTTAAAATCAAGTCTACTGTTTATATGGTATTATTAAGCCCTTTAAAGAGGAGTATTACTCAAATGGTGATTGGAACTATATATCCATTCCTATTCCTAACTTGTCGACAGCCCAATAACCATTCACAGAACGGGAGACATTGAGATATAAATTGGGACATATCCATTCCTACTCACAAATTTTTATCATATTGAAAAATAGAACAATCCTCAAATCAATTGCATGACTTGGTTCAATTGGGACCATATCCATTCTTATTCACAAATTTTTATCATTATGAAAAATAGAACAATCCTCAAATCAACTGCATGACTTAGTTCTATAACCCTACTTTTTACAATTTGAATATAAATTTACATTCCATTATAGATGGCATAAATAGATAAATTCTAACTGAATGAACAGAGCTATCACAGACACATCTCAGAAGATAATTACAGCCTGATATAAGTCTAACATATCATTATGAGCTTTTATTTATATCAAGAAAAACAGAAAATTGAGGGCAATTTCAATGTAAATATGAGCAACTAATATTCAGACATTTTGCAGCGATTTCCTATAATGATGGTCATGTGGTTAGAGCAGTGGTTTCGAACCTTTTTGGTGGAGCTCAACTCCAACTCCAGAATTTCATCCTAATTTATTACACCCTTGAGGTGGCGACATGGGATTTGGACCTGAAAATTGCATTGCCCTTGCGTACCCTTTCACAATTTAACAGCAATACCTGAAGCCTTGTCTGCGAAAAAAGTATCAACAAGAATTCACTTCAGAATGATCAATATCAAACTTTAATTTTAGTCTGTTTGTGCCTGAAGCAGTTTTGTGGTAAATTTCGATGTAACTTGATACTATAGTTTACAAAAAGCATAACTTGTTACCGATAAGCTTCAATCTCAATACTGAGAAGTAAATGAGTATGGCAAAGCTAAACGTTTCACGGAATAAAAACATGAAAGAAAAGTGTAAAATATAATGGTCTAACCCTAACCTACGCTAACAACGGAAGTTCCGAAAATTTGAACTCCGTGAACCTTAGTTTACGCACGTAATATATTGACAGACTCCCGAAATTAACCGACAATGACAATCTCGTTCTTTTCAAAATCAAAACCATGCAGATACACACACTCGCCACACAATGAACCATCTTATTCATGTGTAAAATTATCCTTTTATACGCATCGTACGGCTCACTGCCTCACAAAAACGAAACATGACAATTACTATGTAGAAGAAATCACAATAAGAGCGCGATTACGACATCACTTCGAATGAAATTTACAGAAAAACAAAGGATTTAAATCAACGAAGCGTAAATGAGAGCCCTTCAGAAAATTAATTTCAGATAATAAAATAACGATGTGTAAAATTGTTAAGTAAATAGAATTGGCGATTTTAAGAAAACTGAAGTGGAATAAGTGTTCACTTATAAAAATAAAACAAAAATAATTAAATATCATTCAGACTTCAGAGATTCCTTTTCAAAACTGGGGATGATGGATTAGGAATACTAATATTTATCCCAGATACGAAAAAGTCAACAAGACAGCTTAATCATAATATGTCAGGCATGATTCCTCGTTTGATTGTCAGTTTAAGTCAGTGTCAGACAGAATATTCTGAATCAAAACCAAGTGTAATAATTCTGGTATTTGACTTTCCGTCTTAAATTTATTAAGTTTGGACTTGTCAACTGAGCTAGATAAGATATATTTCATGAGTATTTCATATCCCATCTGAAGATGAGAAGATATTTGTCATTGCAGCAGCCTTATATTGAAATGGTGATGGCTTTCTACACTATCAAGTCCATGCATCTCAAAAATTAACAGGCTAATGATTCCCTTACCCAATATGGACTGACAAATGTACAAGAGACCAGTGTTCGCCATATCATAATGTCATTTAGTCATATCATCAACTTTCCTCGCCCATGAGATAAAAAAAAAAATATCCCATAAAATAAAGACTTGCATGCTTTAAGTTAAAGATAGGTAAAATGGTGCTCCCGAAGTATGCGAACCAAGATTGCAGACATCGGAACGTAACATGGTTAGGGTTAGGCGATAATTTTTTTCCAATTTTCCTTATTTTAGTCCTATTATCAGTTCGAAGACTAGCCAAGAGCCTCCCGTGATATTTATACCTAAAATTATGGCCTAACCCTAACCTAGTACACATATTACATTCCGATGTCCGCCATCTTGGTTCGCATACTTCGGGAGCCCCGGTAAAAGTATATCCAAATATGAAGCCTGGTCTATAAACTCTTCATAACAATTTTACACCCACAGTGTACCACTATGCTCAGTCATATAAGGGTTCATAAGAGTTCAAACTGTATATTAGCAAATAAATACATCCCACTTGGCTATATAAAACGAAAGTAATTAAAACACAAACAGTGTCTAAATGAACACGTAAAAATAAATAACACTTTAGTAAAACCAGCTTATGTCACATTTTTCGGAAATCAAATTTTTTTCTTCTGTCATTATGCACTCACATATCAGGAGCAATCTTTTGGTCTGGAATCTAAAGCTGGACCTGTTTTAGTATTGATTTTAAGTGGTGCGTCATGTCCAATTTTAGGGTTTAGTTGTTGAAGCCAAATTATTACAAAAATGCAATTTTCTCAAAACTTCAAAATGTGATATGTGGTAATTTGGTTATATACTCACTCTGGTGATATGTGGAAATCAATATTAACAATACAGGAATACCAAACAATGGTAATAAACTAGGTACCGGTATCACAAAGCCTAATGACGGATCAATCTCACTAAGTACATAATGTAAGAAAATTTCCAGTTTCAGTTCTATTCTAAGTTAAACAAGACATGCTACATGAATACTGTAAATAACTAAATTTCCTAAACATAAGATGGAAAACATTTTATGTTATAAGTCTGTAAGTTTATTTTGACTCCATAATCAGCATAACAGACAATAAAATACGGTAATTGATAAGAACAAATTAAATAAAACTGATTACAGAATCAGCGTTAAGTACCATCATTGCGGGCCGTATTCCATTTCTAAACTACTTTCATGTCAACCAAAAATGTGAAATATCGCGCGTAAATTTCGCTAAAAAATAAAATACCTATTTCCATGAACTTGCGTTAACGCTACAAATCGTTCAACACAACGCCCACTGAGCGCAGAAAACAATATCCATTCCCGCAAACGTTCCAGACCATCAACCATACCCAATTTGCAAAACAGCTCAATCAAAAGAAATCCATTCCGACGCAGACAAGCAGACTCCAAATTCGAAAATTAACCCATTTGGCGCCATGTGTTGCAAAAACAAAAATGCACTTTGTAAAATTAACGACTTCTCAGTGCCACCTCGCGGATATTAAAATTTGCGAAGACGCAAAGTGCAAAAAAAAATGTCCATTCAGATAAGACATTCATTTTCGTCGTGCAAAAAAAGACGCAATGCAATAAATGAGTAAAATACATTTAACAAAATCACCAAAACCGATATCGGCTCATTGCAGAGACTTGTTATTGCATTATGTTGATGTATATCAGGGGTGGCCAACCTGCTTTTGACCGAGATCGACCAAAATCTTCAAAATAGCTCGCGATCGACTGATCGGTAATAAGGTTACACGCACAAACGAATACCTGTGAGTATTGAATATACAAATAGCTGCCCACATGCATACGAAAAATTCCATTTCTGCCAATGAGCTCGGATCTGTGGGCGCATGTTTAATGAAATCGAAACAAAAATTTCATGTCATATTGGCGTAATGTTTTTCACAAGAAACACAATGTAACTTTTCAAAATTCCGAAGCAGATGACGCCAATCGCGGCCAGGATGCTATTCAAAAAATAGAGTAATGCTCAAATATATGAACACAAAAGCCGTGAATTTTGATTTGTTAAAATTTACTTAAATTAATTTTCCGAAAGTAAGTAGTTCGGAGAGTAGAATAAATTTAGACGTTTTTTGAATTTTGGGATTTTGATGATAGCGATATTATTCGATAACGTACTTATTGCACACATGTGGTAATAGTTAAAGTTAACGAAAACGAGAAAGCGTTTATAATATACAATGCCACCAAGGCCGCGCATCGGTACCCTTACAGTCTGGGAGCGCAGAGTTTGCTGAAAAGAACTTGGAACAAGCCATAAAAGCAACTTGGTTTTAGTGGGTTCTTTAATTTTCAAGTAATGAAAAATTGAATCGATTGGCCTAATACCGTGTTTTCCCGAAAATAGTACTGAGTTTTATTTTAATTTTCTTTCGAAAAATTACACTAGAGCTTATTTTTGAAGGATGTCTTTTTTTTCATTTGTCAAAAACAAAATTACATAGTAGAGAATTACGAGATTTTTAAATATACAAAATATGAAAACTGAAACCCATTTACTTATAAATAACACGTTTCATTTAATAAAACTGCTGAAGGGCTTATATTAAAATCATTTTTAAAATTCAGGCTCTTATTTTCCGGGAAACACGGTAGTTGCGAAAAAAAACAATTTATTTTTGCAATAAAAACAACCTCATAATAAAAGTTTAAAAAAAAGTAACCCTATATACACTTGTGTCAGAAAAATACAAAAAAACATGCGCGTTCATTGGATTTTCCCCTCCATTAGGACGATAACATGTTTAATTGATACGCACACGCGACTCCCACCCCACAATTAGGGTCATAATGTGTACTTCAACAGTGTTTATCAGTTATATCGCCTGATCTAGGGTTTTGATAAAAGTATAGTAATGACTTTAATATTTATAAGATGTTAAAAACTTTTTTTGCGCTGATTCGGTCATATTGAATATGTGGTAGGCTTATATAATCGTATAATCTTTATAATCTATAACTAGTGATCAGTGGCATATCTAGGGTGAAGCAGCCATGGCATAAAATTAACTTGATGAATTTGCCGTGGTTTGTCATGTGAATACGTTCACTTGCACGTTTTAATCTTTTCTGAATAAATATTAAAAAGGAAATTGCGGAGAAACAAACATGTTTCTTGAAAAGTCACCCATGTTTTGTATAATTAACTCATTATAAGTATTTAAAATATGAATCCTAATACATTCGAAATATTTTTGTTCTTTATTCATTTTCAACTATGCCTTTGATCTTATCGCTGAATCTCACTGGATTGGACTCAAGTTTGCTTTTCGTTTTCTTGTAAATTTGTGTTTATATTAATAATTAATTCAATAATTATTCAGCTTATCAATAAAAAATATTTGGGAACATAAAATAAAAGCATTGAACTTTAACTAAAGTAAATGCTAATGATTTTCAGGGCGATGAAAGGTCGGGAAAATATCCCTTTTATGTGAAAAAAAGGAGTGAATCGTGCTGAATAAGTCTGAATATCGCAATTCTAAATATCGGACAAATGTTTTGATAGTTTTCGATTCTTTATTAAAAAAGATATGAATGAAAATCGGAGATTTCATTTATTAAAATACTAAAAAATGTTAACACAATCAAAAAAATGGTTGTAACCTGTGGATTTCACGATAAGGAAGCCAAATTATGGTGAAAAATAAGCTTTTACTCGTGGTTGGTTTAGTGATACGTTATCTGTCACATTAATCGCTGTTGATGTTTTTACTATGGGCAACCCACATGTTTATAGATGCTACACAATGAGCTAATGTTGATCCCAAGCGAAATGGCCGAGTCTTGAAGTCTTTCAAAATATTTGAAAATTGCACAGGGAATTTATCGATAACATATATTGTTCTGGCCCTCACAGATGTTTTAAATGAAGTAAAAATACTTTAGCAATTAATGATTAAAAAACAACAAACCTGGTTAAGATATCTTGAGAACTGACTTCATAACAAAATGAAGCTATAAAGGGTCTATATTGACACCCTGTATATCTTTCTATAAATTGTCAGAGCTAGAACCATAATTTCAGTTTGACAAATCTAACTCCTTTTTTAAAGCAGCAGTTTGAAACACTTTGGACATGGGGTATACGGTGACCGTCCATTTGAACCCACGTACATTTGAACCCATGTCTATATCCGCGGGTTCAATCAATATGCGGGTGCTGAAACCCATGGGTTAGGGTTAGTATGGGTTCAACTATCCGTACAACAAAAAAATTTCCATAGGTGCAATAGTATGCAGGTGCAATTGTCATGGGTTCAAATGTACGTGGGTTCAAATGTAATGGAAAGATAGACAGTTCCACTTCAATACTTAAAATATAAATTACCACTCAGTAGCAGAAAGCATCTTCATTCATTACCACTACAATCAAGATTAACTAATGTAGCAATAAATGATTAGCAATTTTTATTAAAAGGTTTGTGACCCACCTCGAAATTTTACTGAGGGCCAGCAAAGGGCCATGGCCTACTGGTTGAGAACCAGTATCCAAAAGACCAATCGATTTGAATATTTCAATAATTTAATATGGTTAACGCAGCTGGAAGGCTATTACTTATATTTTCAACTAGTTTTATACAGTCCCATGGAAATCGTTAGTCAAAAAAATTTTGCTGCCCTATTTTAATTAATGGGAACACTTTTATATGACATACGGTAACACTTCTTGCAAGAAGTTGCAAAAAACAGGTTCAGTGTCTAAAACTCTAAAAGCTGCGATAAAATCTGGCAAAAATGCATTCAAAATGCAGGCGTGACCTTACATTTAAAAGTAGCGGGTCTGCAGATATTTGGATAAGATTCCAATCGCATCATTGTTTTTATTCAAAAGTTCACCCTGGAACGTTGTCACTAAAGAAAGATAATCAAAATAACGTGCAGTAAAAAAATCAAATATTTTTAAAAATTTATATGTAAACAAAGATTATAGGTAATGGATTCGATAAGATCATACTCATGTCATACGAGTACAAGAAAATCGCCTACAAAAGTCGAACCACGATCACCAATTCGCACACTTGCTGAAAACATTCTAGAGAACGACCGTTTTAAAGCATTTATGTCGTAACAATGACCATTTTACTAAAAACTATTGTTCTTGTTGTTTTTGTAACAATTGCAATAGTACCTGATTCTGTGACATCACAGTTTTTCAGTGACAGTGTTTTCCTCGAGAGTTTGATCAAAGCTGCAAATAACGAAGACACGAATGACTATTTCGAGGAATATCAAGATTCTGATATCGAAGAAAAAACTTTTGCACCCAAGAAGCTATCAAAGTAAATCTTTTTTTATTACTATTTTAGGTTTGCAATTTTCCTCCGAGTCCAGATCGCTTGGTATGAAGGGGGTTTACTTCATTGGGGGATTCAGAGGTTGACGCGGACCCGTTTTTGGTATATATATCGTTCTAATCAGCAAAGACGTTATTATTTTAGATCTATAAGTTTTCTGAAATGGGGCAAACCTGTTTTTATTATGTTCGATACAAAAAAGAGGTCTATCGAAGTGAACGTCGTAACTTCTTAAAACAACATCAAACAAAAATACGATGTGAAATTACCGCAGATACTGCTTAAAAAACGCTAAATACAAATGTGATGCGAGATTTTTATAATTTTTCGCGGAATGATAGACGCGTTCAAGTAAAATCAACTTCAATTTATTTCCAACAAAGCAGTTACCGGTATATCCCATGCCAAATAGGGATATCGTTTCGAGGGAGACTGAATTTTATTGAAAAATAAAAACTTGGACAGTATTTTTAATTACATTTCTGTTCGGCGTTATTTTAAGGTCTTACCGTGTACTTTCTCAGGCACCAAAAGAGAAGCTGAAATAATTCTGTTGCTATAGCAGCATCATGCACTTTAATGTTGTAAAAATATGTGGCAACGGAATCATATCATAGCGCAGAACCTATTACTAACTATTACAGTTGAATAAAACGTGAAATAAATGGCGAAAATTTGGTGAAAGACAAGATCCATTAGTAGCTTTTGGATGTTGGGGTATATTTTGAATGCGCTCCCTATAGCGCTATTAATATGTAATATTATTACCAGGGATTTTATACAGTCTATGAATGATAGGTTAAGTCATATATATTATAGTAACAGCGAAACAGTGGCGACTAGCTCACTTAATTTTATTATCTGTATTTTTCATTATCTGTCCATTTACCGCTTCTGGGAAAAAACAAATAATAGAAGATTTGGTCAATCAAACGCGTATCTTTCTATATATATATATATATATGTATATTCCCAAATGCTGATACACTCCACATTACAAATGGCACCTCATTTGCATTTTTAGGTAATAAAGATTAAATACAACAGCCGAAGCAAGTGATACCACGAAGAAAACTCTTTTGAAGCTTCCGTACATAGCTTCTTCGCCGAATTATTCACGGCAGGATAGGAAATTTCATATTTTTCGCGGGGGGAGGGGAAAGTCGATGATAAGATAGCTTGATCATATGGAGAACCACGCACCCTCGTCGATTACCAGTCCATGTCGGATATGGAATAGTTAGGTTATCTGTTTCCGGTAAAAATTTAATGATTATTTCCTCTATTCAGACTGGTGAAACTGTTACTCAGCACCTGTGGTCCAGTCTTGAAGCAGAAATGTGAAGTATTTAGAAAAAAATGTCACTGGCTAACAAGAAAAGACTTCGAGGAAGGAGACCAATACAGTGAACTGGATACGGAATTGAGTGAAGGTAATCATGACGTGTTTTATGTGTTATTACTTATCGATTTTAATCGTTACTTATTGATTTTAATCGGTAAGTATGTTGATAAGTATTTGTCTGTCTGTATGTCTGTCTGTCAGATGCACGCTCACGTCAGATCTGCTCCAAATTTTGCATGTCCATTCATCATATCTCGGACCAGAAGCCTATTGATTTTGGGCGGATTATGTTGTATAATTAGCGAGTTATCAATTAATTAGTGATGGGCCACAAGGTGTCACTATGGAGTAAGATCGCTGTTTTGGGTTCCACTAACTTTCGATCGATAAGTCTTCGGTCTCTGACCGATATTATCGTTTCATATATTTCCCGTAAAGCATGTCTGTGGAGTCTTTTGTACAAAGCAAAAATGTGAGATTTGAAAAAAAACGCTACGTTTTAAAATAACAAACGAGATAGCCATCAGAAACTTATTGATCTGGCGGCGTGATCTGGCAAAATTTGGAGCAGATTCAACCTTTCGTGGTTCAACCAACGCTTTTGTGAGATATTGCGTAACATACCGAAGTGTCTAACAGACGAACAAACAGACAAATACATATCAACATACTTACCGATCAAGATCGATAAGTAATTAGTAATTATCTAGTTGGGGTTAAAGGTTAGGAATTATTTGAAAATTTCCAATGCAATCTTCATTCCTAACCCTAACTCGATAATTACTATTTTTCTTATTTTAAGCGTTGGCGGGAGTGTTCTTGAGGCGGGGCTTTGAACAAAAGGTCTTAAAAAAGTTTCATTAACTCCGATTACCAATATTTTATTTACCGTGGTTCTAATTTGGGCGCCCCGGTAGTATGTGCATCAAGATGGCGCACAACCTGAACCATAACCTGGTACACATGGTATGTTCAGGATGTGCGCCATCTTGGTGCACATATCATGGGAGCACCCTAATTTGGCAGAGATTCTCGATCCCAGGTTAAAGTTTTTACTAGAAATAGAATTTGGCCTCAGCTTCCACTTAGGAACAGAACTTTCTTAACAACTTAAACTAAAAAAATGTCTGACAGGTCTCCAACATCGGTGTCCAAATTTTGGCTCCAAAACCAAAAAAATGTTCCGAATACACAGCACTGTTAGCGTTGACATAATTTTCGCATTCATCGAGGGTTTCGCTTTCACCAAGCCGAAATAGACCGTAATCAAAAACGCGTCCGGCCGGAGCGGGAAAACGTGGATTTTCAAGACTTTTGAGGGTCTAAAAAGCGTTTCAAGTGACGAAAAATTGCTATGTGTGATACAGGAAAAAAAATTTTTTTTTTACATTTTAAAAGAGGAAGTTCCAACCCACAACGGCCCTTCTTGGGTACGCCCTTGCGTTCACCATTATATACTAGGGGACAGATTAACCTTCTTTTTACTTGTCGATTTTAATCGGTAAGTATGTTGATAGGTATTTGTCTGTCTGTTTGTTTGTCTGTCTGTCTGTTAGATGCACGCGATATCTTACGAAAGCGAGATTGAGTCTGTTCCAGATTTTGCATGTGCATTCATCATATGTCGGACCAGAAGACTATTGATTTTGGATGAATTATGTCGTATAATTAGCGAGTTATTAATTAATTAGTGATGGGACACAAGGTGTCACTATGGAGTAAGAGCGCTGTTTTAGGGATTCCCTAACTTTCGATCGATAAGTCTTCGGTCTCTGACCGATATTCTCGTTTTTCTATTATTTGACATTTTTTCAAAATCCTTTTGCGAATAGTACAAATATAATATACTGTTTATTTCTTATTAACAGATAAACGAGCAGTGTTGGAAGATAAACGAAGCAAACCTCGCATCAAAATCAATTGCAATACATGCAGAAATCTTTGTTGGTAGAAATATAGCAACCAAGCTACAAAGTCACGTTATGAATTTTAAAACATTGATATATAGAGTGTCCATAACGTCTTAAATTTTTTTTAAATTGCGAAGGGAATTTATCGATATATATCATATATTGTTTTGGCCTTTATAGATGTATTAAATGAAGTAAAAATACTTGAACAATTACTGATTAAAAAACAACAAACCTGGTTGAGATACATTGAGAACTGATTTCATAACAAAATTGAAATTGCAAATGGATTTTATGGACACCCTGTACTACTATTTATATTTTCAATATTTAATGTTTAGAAGAGATTGTTGATTTTTACCGAATTTCTTAACAGTATACGAAAAAAGGCTTAAAACCCGTTTACCGTTTAAATTCATCTGAAATAAAATAAAAAATTATGAATTTTTGTTAAAATCAAACGTTTTTTTTTCGTATACTGTTAAGACATTTTGATAAAAATCACTAATATTCCCTAAAATGTGATCGAATAGCCATTCCTGAAGTCCAAATTCAAGATAATTATTACCGCAGTCTGGTTGGTACAGTTAGCGAAATCACTACAGTTTCAAAAAGATACTTTTTCGTTTCTCAGATCCTTAAACTTGAAGACTTGAGTATTATTGTGTCATTTTGCTATCTCAGGCCCAGTCAGCATGGAAAATGATTATTACTGGTGTGGCAATACCCGATTTCTCCTTGGATTTCTGTTTTATTTAAGCTTTATAGAATTTCATTTGTCAAGTTGAATATAAAAACATAACCAAATTTTTTCTTTTTCCCTCTGGATGGAAGGATACGCAGCCGTACTCGCTTGTACTTCTAGATCGGTATACCGAAAATGTCAGGTGCATATTTGCTATACTCGTCTCATCGTTCTGAGTTAGGGTAGATATGTATTGTGGTGCAAATGGTTGAAGTAAGAATATGAATTGGGATTCATACTAGGATGGATATGTTACAGACAAATGGTTTAGACTTTAGAGCAGGACTTAACGAGAGATTCACAAGATTGTGATATAGCCGCCGCAAGCCTTTAGTTAAAACGCAGAAAAATACGTCTACATATCGAATGCCTAATAAAAGATATCTGGAATAACATTTTACGTTGCTTTTAGCGTTACCGAAGTAAATCGAGATGGCCTGGAGCCCTAGAATATGCGCAATGCGTACATTCCTCGTGTTTTCGGAATGATGAGTGAAAAGACCACCGGAAGGGCCATGAAAAGTTGGGAACCACTGGTTCAGAGGAACCACGGTCCTATAAAAAGAGATTCATAAATTGTAACAAGCTGTTTAAGACGGCCCGATTCGGTACCTACCTAGAGTAAAATTGACGAACTTAAACTTGCCATGGGCGTCGTTTTATGTAGATGCTGCCTCGATTGTACTGTGATTTCCGTGATTAAATGTAACCAGCAAATGTTCAAATATTTGAGTATATTATCATGCACAGAAAACAATTTATTTATTGAAAACTCTTTAATTGAAACCTTTTAATTTCCTTGTAATGTTACTGCTAATTTCTTTCGAAATTGATTAAAATAGTGTAAGAAAGTCCAGTACTATTTTACAACAGACGTGCAAAAATTCAAGATCTCAGTGATTCCCAACCCTTTCTCAAGCAACTCAATTTTTTTAAATGAATTTTATAAAATCTCGCGACCCAAGGATATACGCAAGTCCTAAACGACATGTAGTTGATTGGCTTTACATAAGCTGCATGGATGTTGCCAGGTTTCTACGCTTATATTTTCCACAGATACAATTACTACTGAGCAACAATACAAAATAAACAATCAAATTGGCTTATTTGGTGCTCCAGAAGTATGTGCACTGAGATGGCGCACAACCTGATAAGCCTAACCTGATACACATACTATGTTCAAGTTGTGCGCCATCTTGATGTACATACTTCAGGAGCACCATCAAATTTACTAGGAAATAAATTGAATACATTTTTGTTTAAAAAAAAGGTAACATGGGTTGGGGAACCCTGCCCTATCTGAATTCTATTCAGTTTGAAATGCGAAAAAGCAAAATCTAGAAGTTCACTTGTAGTTAAGTCACATAAATTTATCTATATTTACCAAATTGTCAAATTTTCCAACCAGAGAAGAATTTGAATGCTGCTGGGAAGGAATTTTACGTTGCGTATAGTATTACTGATATTTTTTACTTATTTACCGTTAGCGTAATGTATATGTCTGCATACATTATAAACTATTAAAAGTACACGTATAGCAAGCAAACGTTGCGTTAGAGATTGAATAACAAATACAAATAAAGTTTTTGTGAGTCGCGGGAGAAGGAATGAGGAGCTCTAAAATAGGCCCAAACATATTTGAGAATGCGACAAAATAGATTGACTGCACTGGCTTATGATTTTATCCCCAGATCTATTTCCGTCATTCACCTCACAAACCGTTACTTTTAATCACTTGCATTCGACTACGGCATGGGTATGCAATATTTTTCGTCGGTGGTTCATTTAACCAACTCTAGACATCTGACTGGGCCGGACAGAAAATCCAAAATGCACTAGCGACAACCAGAATGCAGCGGGAATAACGTGAGAAGAAAATGCACTTAGCCCGCGCTTGCATTAATGAGCGCCTTTTTAAACATAAACTGTCTGATTAGGATTTTATGCTTGATGGGAAAAATTCTGAGTGTTGAAAAGAGCCACACTTAATGGCTTGGCGGTCGGGTTGTAGCCTGCGGGCCGCCTGTTACACAACCCTGGACTAACTACAATATATATATATATATATACTTAGTTTCATAAATGTTCTAGTATCCGGTTCTGACTTTAACAACTTATTCCCGCTCCTACTGTTCCCGATTCCCTTTCTTATTCGGACGTAAAATTATATGTATTTGCGTAAGCACACCAACTTGTTCAAACGTAATTAATAAACAGACCATACCCGTCTGTTCGCGCGTAATCTTGGGTTAATTCACGGATCAAGTAGGCTATGCTGATGAGGCTTTTGCACGTGGAATGCAGCATTAAATGAGAATCTGTCATTAAATACAATCTTCAACTGAGAACTGGTCACTATTAGCTGTGGCGTGAATGAAGCGTGTGAGCTTGTTATGCAACATGGCAGAGGTTCGAACCCAAGAGTAGACACTTGGTTTCGTAGGAAGGAAGAGTGAGGATGAACAGAGGTCCAGATGAAGTAGAAATGGGAATAGTGAGTGGAGAGTCGCGACAAACGAGTGGATCGGGGTTAAATAACCAGGTAGAAATAAGGAGTGTAGACGACCACGAAAGTGCGGGCAAGCCCTAAGGAGTGACGATCAGGCAGGAAGGGGCATAGTGCAGTGAGAGGAGAAGAACAACCAACGTGCGGAGCCGTAAGTGAACCAGCCGAAACAAGCAGTAAACCAGGAGAGAGCGACCGCCCAGAGAGAACGACAAAGCAGACAAAGAGGGGAGCATATGCACCAAAGGGGAAACACGAACGCGCATAGCAGGATAACCAAGTGGACAAAAGATTAGTGACGAACAATAAAATACATCCAGGCAGAGAGAGAGCGCAATAAAAAAACGAGAGCGAGCGCTCAGAGAAAACGACCAAGCAGAAAGTCGCATAGCGAAAGGAGTGAGCAACGAGCGGAGCGACATAGTGAGAGGAAGGAGCAGGAGCGCCGAAATAACCAGCGAGAAAAAAAAAGAGAGCAGAGACAGCAGAAAATGAGCAGAGCAGGAGCAAAATACCCAAGTAGAAGAAACGAGCGACGGAGTGAGAGGAAGGAGCAGGAGCGGCGAAATAACCAGCGAGAAAAAAAAAGACAGCAGAGACAGCAGAAAATGAGCAGAGCAGGAGCAAAATACCCAAGTAGAAGAAACGAGCAATAAACCTGGCAACCTGGACCGTAATAAGAGCCAAAACAGACGTAAAAAAAACAAAAAAGGAGAATCCGTTCAGGAACTGACGGAATATATATTACAGGGGTGGCGCAATAAAATAACCAAAATTGTTGAGCGGCACAACCGAGAGAGAGAGAATTAAAAAAAAATGGAAAACTCGGTGGGGGCAGAGACAGCAGTAGGGAAAACGTACAAATGACAAGGGTGGTGCAATTAAAATAACCAGAGGTGTGGGGTACGTAGCATGGACAACAAACAACAATTTGAAGAACTTCAAACGAGATTCAAACACGAGACATAAAATACCACGTGAAGAGCAATCTCATATGCCTTTGTTTGATTTACAACCGTGAAGGTATGAGATTACTTAGACATTTTTTGTTTTCAGATGCATGGACTTGATGATACTGAATCCGTAACCGACTAGCGCTTATGAGAACCTCCCCATGACGGCGAAATGTTCAGCAATCTTTTCGCACAAAATTCCCCCGTGGTATTCGAACCCACGCAGGGTATTCAGAGTCGATGAGCCACGCCGAATTTATTACTTTTTTCTTATATGTGATTGTTTCATTTTTGACAATAAATCAAAACGAAATCTATCTTTGTGACAGCCGCCTGATTTTGTCGCGCGCAAGAGAAGTCCTTTTACGCATGAGTGACCACAGCCTACGTGACTTTCCTGCAGGAGCTGTATGATTCAGCAGTTATCGCTGCAGCGACACTGTCAGTGGTGTTTCAGTAGCTGGGCTCTGGTGATTTCCCGAACTTGAGGAAGATTAAGAAGAAAAATAGTTACTATGGGTGAGTTTAATATGGTTTTCAGGTGTAACGGAATTTATAGTACAATAATATTTGTCGAAGTTTTAGGGTCTGGTATAGTTTAGTACCACATCCACTTTTAGTTGGCCTGGCTCAACAATTTTTGCATATGTCAATCCTAACCCCCACCTGACTACGTCACCGAAAGATTACGTCATTCCGACATCACAGTGGTGTAATAAGGCTCACGGAAGTATGCGGATGGTCGTACAAAACGCGCAGACGATAACCCGAAATCGAGCAAGCTATTTCTCTCGTTTTCTCGTCGCAACGATCACGATAGGAGAGAGATCGCCGGCTTTAGCAAGTTCTTATCGGCGGCGCAGATGCCATTTCGGGCGATCGTAATTATACTTTGGCAATCCCTATGACGTGATGGTGACGTCGTAGGACATAATTTTTGGATGGCATAGTCAGGTGAGGGTTAGGAATAACATATGCAAAAATCGTTATGCTACGCCCACTGGAAGTACCGTAAAACCGGCTAACTTCGGATGCCTTGTAACTTCGGATGAAATTTTCAATTGTTTATATCTCGACCAAATTGCGTCATATTGTGCTTCTGGCAGGTTCTATACTGAGTCCTTATATATCTAAATCTGTTATCATGATCAATCGCGCAGTTTTATTTATTTTTTGATTGAAAAATCACGTTTTAGCAAAAAATTGACACTCCGTTTTCGAGCGGCTTAAATCGTGACTTCTAACTACGCTAACTTCGTCAAAACGCCGTCATTCGATAGAGGGCGTTACCAATGTATATACAAAATTAGACTGATCGCGAGATGTCGCAGGAGACTCGAGAAACAATTAAAATTCAAATATTCTTTTTACATCAAAATAATAGAATTTGACACACACATTGAACCGACGTCACCCTGACGTCGCTCGCTTCGAAGACGACGTCATGTTGCGTCGCTGTTACAGATTTGACGCCAAACATTCGGGCGCCGACGAGTTGGCGTATATTTGAAAATGACAGCGATATTTTGTTCGATTGGATCAATATCGGCTAAAATATACACATCAACAGTTTCCTGTGGATCTTAAATTCATGCCGTCAAATGTTGGAAATGTAATTCAATTAAAATTATTGAAATGGCAATTAACGAAGAATATTTTCGTTCGATTTGTCGATTCAAATTCCACCATTTGGAACGGCAGCATGGTTTAAAATTGTAAGCAGTCAAGAAATGTTGCGTAAATATAAAAATATATAATCAGCGATAAATAACAAGAATCATTGTTGCAACACTTGCAAGTGAGCTCCGTTTAATGAATTTAACTAAAGTAATTTTTGCCAAATCGGTGTTTTGTCGTGATTTATGCACGGCGGACATTTTAATAGGTCAATTTAGTAAAGAATCCGGTCATATGCATGCTCAATAATATTTATCGTGCGACTATATACGATGTGAAATATATAAACGCTGTCCAAACATTATCGGCTATGATCGGTGAATATTCGGATCTAAAGTTACGATAAGAGAAAATAAAACGTGACATTTTAGTATAAAAACAACTTGAAAGTGCCGCACCAGAAATCCAACGGTCATCATTATCACCGCCACTCGCGACGTGGATTGAACATCTGTCATTTTCGCAACGACGTAAAGCGTGTTTTATCTTCGCGCACGCAATTTTCGCTCGAGTTGCGGTGACGCAAGGAGGTGATTCCCCATCCGAAGTTAGATATTTAGTGGTGTAGTGAAAAATGAGACAATTAAGATAGAAAAAATGATCCGATTGACGAGAAAATTAAATGCATGTGCAGAGAATTGCATCAATGTAATATATTCCAAATTTGACGCGAATTGGACAACAAACGGCAGAGATATTGATTGAAGTATAGTGAAACCATCCGAAGTTAGCCGGTTTTACGGTACTTGTGGTACTAAACTATACTAGACCCGAAGTTTTATTGTAAATCACTACAATCAGGTTTGAAATGAGATGCGGTACCGTATAGATAGATAGTTTATTTTGAAAACTCCTCAATCTGAGAATACAAACAAATTAAAAATGGAGAATTCTGGACAACGAGCAAAACCTTCAAAAAAGTTTAAAACAAGATGAATATCATGTGCCCGCTCACCAACACGCATTCACAAAAAAAATCTTGTTAAACAAGGCTTGGGCAAGAAATAAACACACAAAAAACACAGGGTCTAGTATAGTTTAGTACCACAAGTACTTCCGGTGGGCGTAGCATAACGAATTTTGCATATGTTATTCCTAACCCCCACCTGACTATGCCATCCAAAAATTACGCCACTACGATGTCACCATCACGTCATAGGGATTGCCAAAGTATAATTACGATCGCCCGAAATGACATCTGCGCCGCTGATAACGAACTTGCTAAAGCCGGCGATCTCTCTCCTATAGTGATCGTTGTGACGACAAAATGAGAGAAATTGCTTGCTCGATTTCGGGTGATCGTCTGCGCGTTTTGAACGACCATCCGCATACTTCGGTGGGCCTTGTTACGCCACTGTGACGTCGAAATGACGTAATTTTTTGGTGACGTAGTCAGGTGGGGGTTAGGATTGACATATGCAAAAATTGTTGAGCCAGGTCAACTAGAAGTACATGTGGTACTAAACTATACCAGACTCAAAACACGAATGTACGGTATCTCACTGTCTGCTTTTTTCACTTGGGCTTGCTGTATGCCTGTTTACTATCAAGGTTTACAGCGGCCCAGTATTATTTATTCAGATTTTTTTAGTTCACTGACGGTACTGCTTTCAGTTTACTGCTTATTCTTTTATGTTGTGGGGTGAGCTGATAAAATTTTTTGTTCAGCTTTAATCTCTTTTCATGATCTAAAATCATTTAGGCCTAAGTGACAACAGTTCAGAATATTGTCACCTAAAAGAACTAAAATGTATTCAGACGATTCTTAATCAAATTTTATATTATCCAGCAGATATTAAAGAGAAATTAACGTCTGTTTTGGATATCGATGGAACTTCATTCAAATACATTGATTTGCCGAGGATTACTTCTGAAGATGTTTATAGTGAGTTTAAAACACTATTCTCTAAACCAGGGTTCGGCAACCTATGGCCCGTAATATAATCCGGCTCGCGACACTTCACTGAATTATAGTAACAACACAACTGTTTCGATGATTATATCTGATTATAGCTGTGACATTTTGGTGAAGAGAAAACAAAACATTATGAAGTTACGTATTTTACCCATATGAGCGACTTTTTAAACATAAACCATTGGATTAGGATTTTAGGATAGTGAAGAAAGTGTTGACAAGGGCCACACTAAAAGGCTCAGAGGGCCGAGATGTGGCCTACAGGCTGCCTGTTGCACCCCGCTGATTTAATACAATCTAACTACAAGGCCATAGCACCCCTTTAACCCTTTCCGTGCGGTGGGCACGTATACGTACCCACGACAAAACTCGCTAGATTGCGGCGGGTACGTTGATGTACTCCACTGTTTTATTTAGCAATCGGTCGCAAACTGTTGGTCTAGATTTTCCGGGTTTTAGTTTATTGATAAGAAGTCTTCTTCGAGATTAACATAAGCGACGGTAAATCTCGCTTTCGTTTACCATGGGAATTTTATTTGCGACGGAACGAGGGAGTGTTTTTGAAATTTATGCAAATTTCGGTGTTTTTTGGGTGGTAATAGAAGACATATTATCCCTTCCATCTACCAAAGTATTTTGAGTTAGATAACGAAATTGCTACAGCAATATTATGCTATTGTTTGCCAGCCAAGAAGCGGTAACAGTAAAGGATTTAGCAAATATTTCTATTTTTTATCACGGTTTGAAGTTTCAACACCCAAGAAAAAAAAATGCCTTTTTTCTATCCGGTTCGTGACTCAGACCACCCCTTTTAAAAAAAAAAATTTTTTTAATTGCCAATTGCAAGCTCTTTAAATAAGCTTTCCAACGAGCCGTCAGTGGGAAGCAGAGGATCATTACTTTTTCGTTAGTCGATCGATTAGTTGTGGGGGTACAAATGCATAATGTCGGCGTAGCAAATACGATTATTTGATAAAAAATAAAAATCGCATGGAAAGGGTTAATTGTCACCATAAATCTTTACAGATCGACTTCCATTTTCTGTTAGAGTATTACTCGAATCAGCTGTTCGAAATTGCGATGAATTCCAAGTTAAGAAATCAGATGTTGATGCAATTGCATCGTGGGAGAAAACATCCAAGATCACGACAGAGGTCAAGTTTAAACCAGCACGAGTGGTTCTTCAAGATTTTACGTAAGTTATAGTTTGTTTATAATTCACTGCTTGGAATGACAAGTCATAAATGGAACTGTTATGCATTATCTCAACATTCAAGTAGTAATATTTCGTAAATGATTCAAGAGTGCTGCACTTAGGATAGTTATCTTTATTCTTGCTACAGCATCCTTGCATTATAAGCATACGGATCCGCCGGCGCAAAAGCATAGAAAAGGGATAAGGAGTTAGTCTCGTAGACACCAAATCATCAGCGCGAGTAATATTTCGACCAATATTTGAGCAGTGGAAATGTTTGCAATTTCTTATGATCGGAAATACTGTAATTTTTGATATTTTATGATGTGTCTCAACTCTGAATAAGGCAATGAACTAGTGAACTCTTATATGTAAGGTGTTACTGTTTTTGATCTAACGGCAATCTTTGCGGTTCCGCATTGTCTACAAATTTGTCACCATAGGGTGAGGTGGCCAAAATCTTTAATCTGTAACATAGTGTCAAGGATTTTGATCTCCATGTTTGTGTTGTGTTAATATTTTTCTAAATTCTCTGTATGGTATTTCCAGGACCTTTGATTTAGACAGTTTTGACCAGTTCTGGACTCCGACCACCCATAAAATAATTTTCGTTCTTTTCTTGCCGGGAAAGGCTGGGCGTTGGCTGCTTTTGAGTTGTATTTGCTGTCATTATGAGTGTTTGAATGTAGAGTTGCCGTACAATAAACAACCAATTCGTAATTCTTGAGTCTTCTGACCTATTTACATACACAGTAGCAAAACCTAAACTGTGACAATAGATAGGTCAAACACATGAAATACTAGCCATCTTCATGTATCTGTTAATTATACATATTACAAATTTGGTGCTCCCCAAGTATGTGCACCAAGATGGCGCACATCCTGAACCCTAACCTGGTACACATACTATGTTCAGGTTGTGCGCCATCTGGGTGCATATACTTCTGGAAGTCCACAAATTTTGATTCCACTTTACTTTTTATCTAAATTGCTAAGGAATGTTTAATCTTGAATAAAATTGATAAATGTAGCTGAATAAATATGTTCCTTGTTCCACAGTGGAGACTGAACTTTCAACCCCTAGTTCACAATGTCAGCAATGGCAAACTTTTTTCAAACATTGTATCTCTTGCACATGGTATAATTTGAATCCAAACTATGATGAAATGTATCAAAAATATTATATTGAGCCGTAGGGAGAGCAGTTAAAATATACTGTCATCTAATCATCTGAGAATTTTTTATGTTTACATAGTGACTCAACAATTTGATTACTTACATACACTTTGTGATGAAATAAACTGAATATGATTTCACAATCGTTATTGTCATATCGTAAATATACTGGCATTCTTCTGATTAATATTTAACTTCTTATTTTTCCTGAAGTCAAAATGTTTTAAGAAAACTGAAAAGCATGGAGTTGACTAAGCCTATTCATTATACATTTAAAAAAAGGCGCATATCGAAGTTTTTATGGTTAGATTTGGTATTCTTCAACTTGGAAGTTTGTAGTCTTCAATCAAAATTAATTTAAGTTTTTGTCAATTACGACAGAATCAATCAACTAGTTTCGGAATGTCTCAGAGTTTTGGGTCGGGCATGTCCTTTCCCAGACTAAACAACTCTGATCATTTAAAAACCAATACTGTTTTTTTCAGTCCAAAACATAAGTCATTACCACAAGTAATTCTTATGACTGTATATCGCACTGGCTCTCCACTATATCTTGAGTTCCTAAGTAGTAATAGCTACAGTCATGAGCCATGAAAAAATAATATGAAAGTACATTGTATCCATAAAGTCCCTTACCAATTTCAATATTGTTATGAAGTCAGTTCTCAATATATCTTAACCAGGTTTGTTGTTTATTAATCAGTAATTGTTCAAGTATTTTTAAACCCTATACATCATCAAGAGGCGCTGGTTTCACATCCCTGGCCTATATCAACCATATTCTACCCAGTTCATGCAGTTAAATTAAATTTTTTTTTTTAATCTTATTATTTTCATATTGAACGTAATGCAAATTTTGTCTGAATGTGTCTGAAATACTTAGGTTTCTCTCCATATGTATTTTAGTCCTATTGGTTATATTTGAACTATTTTCTTTTTTTTTTCAGTGGAGTACCGGCTGTCGTAGATTTTGCTGCGATGCGAGATGCAGTCCAGTCACTTGGTGGCTCTCCTGATAAAATTAATCCAGTCTGTCCTGTCGATCTCGTCATTGATCACTCAGTGCAAGTGGATTACAATCGTTCGTAAGTTGTTTTTTTATACTGGGATGGTTAAATGGTTGAAAAAGTATGGACCATGCTTGAACGTGGTCACGAATGTTTAGAATATAGAGTGACGTTTGTCCCATGACACTCTTTTAACATGCTTTTGGGAAATGTTGTGAATTACCTTTTTGTATTTTGGCGTTAAATAACTTTATTGAGAATCTGGATTTGTTGTGATGAATTCTAGTTCAACCTGCCTAAAGGGCTACTCCCGTTGTATGTGTCCCAGGTTAAGGGTAAGGCCGTACTTTTATTCCAATTTTTCTTATTTTAGTTCTATTACGAGTTCGGGGACTGTTTGCGTTAGCCAAGTGAATATACCCCCTCGGCCCTGCCCATAGGTTTCAGTCCCTTAACACAAATTGATGTAAAGTAGGAGCTCTTTCTTAATTGCGCTGATTATAATCAAATTTTAGATCTGATGCTGCTCGGAAAAATCAAGAAAAAGAATTTGAGAGAAATTCTGAAAGATTTTTGTTTTTGAAAGTAAGTTTTTTACTATGCCAATACCATTCTTTCTCTGATATGTACTGAAAAAAGATTTATAATATAAATTCAAATAATTTAATTTATATTTTTACATTGTGGTTAAGATGCCAAGGATGCTATACATCAAGATTTTGATTTGAACTAATTTTATGTCTGAAAAAATTTCGGAGAAATTTAATTCTGCGCTATAGTTTATTATAGCGCTTAATACTTGCTCAAAGATGAGTCTTCTTTATTTCTGAGTGAGAATATATGACCATGCTCCTCAAAAAAGTTGATAATTCAAATAGTAAAACAATTTTTTTCATTTCTATTTTACAGTGGGGAGCCCAAGCATTCAAAAACATGACAATAGTACCGCCTGGATGTGGTATAGTTCATCAAGTCAATCTAGAGTATCTAGCCAGAGTAGTGTTCGACATGGAGGGATGGTTGTACCCTGATAGTTTAGTCGGAACGGACTCGCACACCACAATGATTAACGGACTTGGTGTGCTCGGCTGGGGTAGGTTTCATAAATATTTTTCTCGGCATTCCGAAATTCCCTTTTAAATATACTTCTGCAGAAACCGAATCATCGAAGGAATTGAAAATCATCGCTGCACTCCCATCTGAATTTCTCTCTGTGAAAAATACAAAATGACTCTCATTCAATTCTGATTGAGTGAGTATATGTATCCTTACTTCGAGTAAATTGAGCTAAAAAGAAATGTCTCGCTACAAAAAAACCTTGGTAGCTCTTGTAATTGCCTTTTATAAATAAGGTAGACTGTGCAGAACCAGAAAGGTCCTCGCAGGTCAACAGTATTACATATATATTCTCACATATTAGCCAACCCCCTAAAAACGGCCCTAAAACGGTGAATTTATAAAATTTCGCATCCAAGCCGACCCTACAAAACACGCAGCCGATCATGTTCATGACAACTAATCACAGACTGTGCTCGATGTCATAGCTCACCAAACATGTATGTATTTAATCATAGTTTGGAGAAGTATTCGATAAAAAAAGGATTTAAAAATAAAATATACGTCGTCTTCATTTTCATACAAAATCTTTGGCTTTCTTTAGTCAACAGGTAGACTAATTAAAGCATGTCGCTATCAAAGTAACTCTTCCAAGCAAAGCACCCATTCGTATTTCTATAACAGGAATTTCGCACAAGACGACTTTTGCCAAAGCTGCTGCTACAGTCAATAACCTTGGATTCGGAAAAATACGATAGAGTAAAAATCCTCAAACATATTGATAAAAAATATCTGATTTTGAACCCTTCTTCATTCCAGGCGTTGGAGGAATTGAAGCAGAAGCCGTCATGCTCGGTCAAGCAATTAGTATGGTGCTCCCTCAAGTGGTAGGATACAAGATATCAGGAAAGATTGACGCTTTGGCTACTTCAACTGATGTTGTTTTGACGATAACAAAGGTACTAATTTTTCATTCATATTATTATGTATGGAAATAACTGAAATATCTACTATTTCATATATAATTATTCTAAAATCCTATATAAAAATTGGGTAGTTTTAAAATAGAAAGCATTCAGAAGTCATTACTTATCGATCTTAAGATCGGTAAGTATATTGATAGGTATTTGTCTGTGTGTATGTCTGTGTGTCTGTTAGATGCACGCGATTTCTCACGAAAGCGAGATTGAATCTGCTCCAGATTTTGCATGTGCATTCATCTTATCTCGGACCAGAATCCTATTGATTTTGGGCGAATTATGTCGTATAATTAGCGAGTTATCAATCAATTATTGATATAGTGATCTAGATTTTTGTAAAGCGAGAGAATTTTGAAACCCGCCGAGTGTGTGTGTGCGATGCGCAAGTTACAAGAGCGGATGAATCGAAACTGCAGTTTCTGTTTTGGGGGATCCCCTAACTATCGATCGATAAGTCTTCGGTTTCCAACCGATATTCTCGTTGTATATTCGTTTAGTTTGATTTCATTTGGGAATGCAGGGAAGTTGAGAATTCAAGATTCTATTTTACTGATTTAAAAATAAAATGGAGGTTAGTTTAATTATAATATGCTCATATATAATTATGCTCAGGTGTTACCGCTCGATTTCCAATTTTGGTTTTCGCGACTCCTTTCACCTCGAATTATCCGTTTTGCTTCCTTTTACATTCTGTATGCATTTAGTGTATTTCATGTGTGGTGAAAAAAAAAAATATAATGTGAGACTTTATTCTAAATTGTCCCTAGATCGAGAAGTTAAAATATCAGATATAGTTTTGGACATTGAAGTACATAACTGTTTAACCCACATCATTCAAATCAATGCTAATTATCACAAAAATTATGTATTCATCTTTCAAAAAAAAATAAAAATAAACTTTTATCTTTCTTAAATCTTCATTTCAGCATCTAAGAGGTGCAGGCGTCGTTGGAAAATTTGTGGAATTCTTTGGTCCCGGAGTCGCAGCCTTGTCAATAGCAGATCGTGCTACTATATCCAATATGTGTCCGGAGTACGGAGCCACTGCTGGCTATTTTCCAGTTGATGTGAAAAGTATTGAATACTTAAAGAAAACAGGTCAGTTACTACTAGGGGATTTGATTAAAAATATGAAATTAAAATTTTCTGTAGTATAGGTGATGTGTAACTTATTTTAGGGACCCTAACCTTCAATGAATAATAACTTTCATGTGCTAAGCGTTAGGAATACGCTCACCTCTGATTACTTTGCTTTCTGGCTTTCTTCTCTTCCGGGATGAATATGTAAATTCTATCCTATGCAATAATTGTGTTTACGAAATGGTAGCAGGCAATTTGACACATCTCCTTCATATAGACAAGGTGTCCTTAAATTCTGCCTGATTTTACAATAATATTTAAAAATTTCTTAGTCTTTGTTTATAAATAGTTTTTATTGTGCTTGTAGTTCTCATTTATCATACAATAAAACTTACAATTGTTATTACTTATTACTATGAAATCGGGCAAAATTTTGATTGTTATTGCTGTGGGCTCGGGCCACATTTTTGGGACATCCTGTATACTATGTGTTATTTTTATATTATCTTTGCACACTCTAATACATGCCAACTTTGTCTTCCATTTATCCAGGCAGAGACTCAAAAAAGGTTGAGATGATTGAGAAATACTTACGACAAGTAAAAATGTTCAGAGATTTCACGAATGAGAATGAAGATCCTGTGTTTTCTCAGGTCAAGTCTTATTTGCAACGGCTGAAATTATGTCCATTCTAAATGCAGTACAAATCAAACTATGCTATGAAGAACTAAGTATATTTTACAACTCGCAGTAGTGACATATAATGACTAGTATAAGAGTATATTTTGGTTTTTCCAAGACATTTCTGCTCTTTGTTGACAGTACAACCCTTCGATTATGTCCAATATAAAGGCAATGCAAATCCACTATGAATATCTCAATAGTTCTTGCAACTTCCATCAGTTCAGTGTTCGCAGCGCTTCCGGTATATTCTCGCATATTAGCCGATCTTGCCTATGAGCAGACCTCCTGAAAACAACCCTAAAACGATGAATTCATGGAATTACTCATATATTTCAAACCTACAAGTCCTAAAACGCCATACGCTCCTATCACAGCAAATGGTTACAGAAAAGAATAAATGCGATCAGAGTTTTACGCGTATAAGCTGACCCCTTAGTTTGGCAAATTTTTTTGGGTTTTAAACTTGACTTTTATGTGAGAATACACGGTAATAATTAGAATAATATAATAAGGATAATAATATATTCTAGTCTTTGAAACTGACAAAGCATAGGAAAAATTTTTCTGATGCCAAGAGTCTTGAAGGCATCTGTCAGTTTCAAGATAAATAGTTGCTTTTGTTAGAATCATTCAAATCATGGGATTCCATATTTATCATCGGTGGACGGGAAACTTGATGAAGCAGCTCGTCAACCATCTGCTCCACTGGAAATATTCCAATGAAACTGCCTGATTTCGAATTGATTTAGATCATTAGATCACATGATGGTTGTAGAAAAATTTTTTTAGGGAAGTGAACATAATTAAAAATTAAAATTTTTGTTAGATTTGATATTGCCCGCCTTATTTCGGATATTTACATTTCTTTATTATGTACACGTATTTTCAAAATGTTTTTTGAATAAAACATACTTTCGCTTCACTATCTGTTATTTGTAGCTTATTGTTAGCTAGCTATATTTAGGTGTGGCGCAAGACTTGCCAAATTCTAAAAATGGGACGTGGCTTAAAAAGTTTAAGTTCCACTGATTTAGACTTCTTTATTCTCCAGATACTCGAGCTTGACTTGGCAACAATCGTACCGTCACTATCAGGACCGAAACGTCCCCATGACAGAGTATCTGTTTCTGAAATGAAGAAAGATTTCAAAGAATGTCTTGTGAACAAGGTAAGAAATATATAGATTTATTCTAACACAAATTTATCGGCCAAACAAGTTTGGGAAAAAGGGGGAAATGTAAATATTGTAATATTCGAAAATTGTACGAATCCATTAGATTCTTTTTTTAAGGCAAGTGCCAATCAGATATTTGATATAATATTGATTTCATTGTGAGCCAATGATCTATAAAACTATATACAACATACACATAATGTGCACTATAAGAACTACCGTATATGCTCGTTTTACCGCCCGATCTTGATCAAGGTCCCGTTTGAATAGTTGTCCGTGTGAACAGAACATAAAAAAAGGGCCGGTGCTTGAATACCCGCCCGATGTAAAAGCTGATTTTTCAGTGGTATAGAACAATAGGAAATAAGAAGCGCTTTTGTCACAACGCTGTTGAATTTTAAGCGCCGGTAGATAACACTCGCGTCTAGGGTGTCCAAGTACATAACAGATAGCATTGATTACGTAACACCATGGTTCTCGAACTGGGCGTAGCGACGCCCAAGTGCGTCGTTTCAATATTGATAGGCCGTCGCAAAACTCTTCTTTTTTTGCGAATTTGTACCTGCGTGCGTAGAAAAAGTCAAAATTTTCGTTTTGGAATTACCGGCAAGTCAGCATAATATCATCTCTTTGCGTGATCAAATTCTGATGCGCGAATGAGTCGATTTTTTGGTGCAGTCTGAGTTATGCGCGAATAAGACTGTCCCTTAGTTTGGCAACTTTTTTTAAATTTAATGTTCTTATTTACGTCCCAGCTTTGGATCGCGACATGTATGTTGTGAAATCCACCAATTTAATATACATATTCGCATTATCTTACCATTACAGGTCGGCTTTAAAGGTTTTGGCCTTCCGTCAGAAAAATTATCGACTCAAGTTCCGTTCACTTTTGAGAAGCAAGAATTTACCATGAACCATGGGAGTGTTGTTATTGCTGCCATCACATCTTGTACTAATACTAGTAACCCGACAGTTATGCTGGGCGCAGGTATGTTAAGAATCTTTGAGCATGTTAGCCTAGTGCAGGGGTTCCCAAGCTTTTTTCAGGACGACCCCAAGGACAACTTTCAAGTGTCCAGTGCGACCCCAGGTCAATATATATAGAGCTTCTTTCACTAGACTTTTGAGATTGGTCATTTGGTGGTATTAAGTAAAATAAGCTAAAACCAAACAATGATTCTCAATAATCACCTACATTTTCTATAGCATAAACATAGAGCGATGCACATGGGCCTGTGTTACAGTAAGCCATGGTACAAACTGCTAAATTTAACATGGTTTGTCAAATCTTAGATGTTTTGTACATCCATCCTCTACCATAACTCAGCGACCCCATGACCTGTTTGCAACCCTACCTAAATATCAATCCGACCCAATTTGGGGTCGCGACCCCTGGTTTGGGAACCCCTGGCCTAGTGCAAGGAGTGTTTTTTGTTGGTGAGCCATATAACCAACATGGGAAAAGCAAGAGAAAAGAATGTGGCTATCTCTTAGCTTTACAGTATTAAATATACCGGACAAAATGGCTGAGGGTTCAACGCAGTGACAAAGCAAAAAATTTAAACGTGAACTGTCAAATTAGGATTTTTTGCTTGACGGGGAAATATCTGATTGTTGACAAGGGTCACACTGAATGGCTTGCCTGGCTGGGTTGTGGCTCGTGGGCCACCTTGTGGCCTAGGGCAACGATTCTCAAACTCTCATGATATGTCACCCTTTTATAAAGACATGCTCTCCTATAATAATATCTTCATTCAAAATCTGAAACCTTAAATATATGAAACAATCAATCCTAACTTTCCTGCATTTCTATATGCAAATCTATTGGAAATAATTATGACTTTTGTGTGTTCTTTGTTAAACAATTCAGAATTGGTTCAATTTTTGAAAATATTTTTCTAAGAATGTTTTCACAAATTCACATTTGGGTACTCCTGATTTGGATTTGAAAAAAAAAATAGAAAATTATGGCTTATATATTCAACAATAATATTTCAGAATGTTTTCAGTACAGTAGATTATATATCCATGACTGCTTCAAGCCCTTGGCAAAAAGTAGCAAAATATTTAAATATTTTAAAAATTTGAACTATTTTTCTAGGAATGCTTGCCCGCAATGCAGTACAAAAAGGACTCAAGGTAGCTCCATACATCAAAACCAGTCTTTCTCCTGGTAGTGGAGTGGTGACGTATTACTTGGAAGATAGCGGTGTTCTTCCTTACCTGACCAAACTAGGGTGAGTTTCTGTCTTTTGAGATTATATTTTTCAAACAGGGTAGTGGGCTTCAAAATTTTAGGAAAAGGTTCTCTTTTGTAGTGACTCATTAACAACAGGTTCCGAAAATAGTATTTTCTTTCACCAGTGGTTACCAACCTTTTATATCTTGTACCCCCCCCCCCCCACTTCTGGAGGCTTTTAGCACTCATGACCCCCTGTCTATCATGCTAGTGGTATTTATAGTTAGGGATGGGCAATATAGAATACCGAATCCGGAGGATTCGAATCCCAAAGTATTCGAATCCAACGGGATCCGATAACAGGATTCGATTACCGTCGCCATGCGTCAATTTTTGTATTTCGGGTTTCTAATTTATCAATTATAGACGAGCGTTTTTCTCGCGTGGATATCTCTCTCGTTTAATTAAACTTGCGTCTGCTCGCAGAGAACCCGTAAATCGGTAAACATCAAACACTGTAATTTCAATCGGCATATTCAGGACAAGAAGTCGGCAATATAACCTCACGGCGAGGACTCGTTATTGCACCATTTTTGGGTTTTTCTTCTTTGCTATCTAGCTAGCGTTATTTGTGTCGACTTACTGGTGATATTCCGATAATCTGAATGCAACAATCTTTAATTGTTTACAGATGTGCCTTGCCTCAATTTAAATTAAATAATTTTTTGCGACCTACAGGTTTTCCCAAAAAATGATGCACGTAAACCAAAAGCCAGGCGTTAAATGTTATATCATTACTCGCCATTAATTTAGATCAAATATTATTTACGAATAATTTATTATACCATTTTCCGAAATACAAAGTTATATCGCAAAACGCAAACAACTGTCACATTTAAATTCCACTCTCAAAACATTACATTTCTTACGGTCCTTTCCTATCGTTCAAGATTGACGCACTTTTGATCGAGTGTCTGTAGTATTTTAGTCGCCGATAAATTTTGAAAAAAGTCCCCGCATCTGGCGAAGATAGTGACGTATTGAATGAATTTGGGTAGTGCCAAGTCTAGGTAGATAATGATATGTAACGATAATCATAGAAAATGAGTTCGTCTTCAGATGTTATTACCTAATAACTAAGTACGAAATCGCGTTTATGGAAACTTGGTTTTACGTGTCTTGCTCTCACAGAATAAAAGGTTGATTTTAATTGATTGCAGTGGCCACACGCTGGTTCAGCATCTAATTAATTCTCAGCGGGTATGTTTTAGTATACTCTTCTTCATTAATAATGATTTAACGCCGTTTCATGTCTATTTTCTATTTAACCGCTTCCTATTGAAGTGTGTAAAGCGTGTCTTAATTTAGCATATCAGTATTTATTAATATTTAGGGATTACATACATTTGGAACAATTGAAGGCAAAAAATATTGTAATATTCCTAAATTTTATTGTCCTGGGAACTGCCTGTTTAGTATCAAATGAAATCCAATGTTCAGGACATTTCCAAACAGATAATACATTTATAGTAAGTAATACATTTGCAATTTTTTAACATCTAAATCCAGCAATGTGGAAATTTCCACTATTTGAATAAGTATGAAAATAGAATAGGATTCGGTATTCTGGATTCGATTTAACTATTCTAGAATATTCTAGAATAGTAAATTATTCTACATTGCTCATCCCTATTTATAGTGTTATTTTGATTGGTAGATTCCAAATCCTATTATGTTCAAACAATTCATGTTCAATAAAGGGTAATAACCGTATCAAGCAATGAAACGAGTAAAAGGAAAATAAAATCAGTTTTAGGCCCGGCATTGTGGCCCAATCCAACTGCTCTGTGGCCCCCTTGTAGGGCCACAAGCCCTCAGTTGGGAACCGCTGTCTTACACATCAATGACTGTTTGTTCTGAGTCTTGTTCAGAACCACGGCATGAAAAGGAACGAATAAACTTTGAAACATAGTTATTTTTTTTAATCAGATTTGATGTAGTTGGATACGGCTGCATGACTTGCATAGGCAACAGTGGTCCATTACCTGAACCTGTTGAAGAAGCAATTGTCAAGGTGAGCTCACTTTGGTATTTGGTTTTTCAAAGCAAGGTTCTGGGTTCTCAACCAAAATTGGGGAGAGAACTGATAGAAGAGTTGTAAGTTTGCTCAGAGTAAGGTCTCAAGCCCTCAACTGAAATCGGAACGAGAACTAATAGAACAGTTGCAAGTTTGTAAAGTTTTGTTTTCATTTTATTTAAATTGCGCAAAATAAAGTCTCGAGCCTACAATGATGCAAACGACTCTATCGCAGTGACAAGCACACAAAAACAGTTAGCTGCAATCTTCTTAGTAACTAATTATGTATTGATCCTTTTATTTGTTTGGTTTGGAAAGCCCTGCCTCTTAGTTTTGGTAAAAGGGCCATTCCGTCTTCCATTCATTCTCACTTAAAACTGTGTGTTGATGATGTCCCTTTACAATTTCAATTTTGTTATGAAGTCAGTTCTCAATATATTTTAACCAGGTTTGTTGTTTTTAATCAGTAATTGTTCACATATATTTACTTCATTTAATATATCTGTGAGGGCCAAAACAATATATGGTATCGATATATTCTCTTCGCAATTTTGAACAATTTTAAGACTTTATGGACACCCTATATATTAACTGTTCTCACGTGTTTCATTTCACAGGGAGAGCTGGTGTGTTGTGGCGTACTTTCAGGAAACCGCAACTTTGAGGGTAGAATTCATCCCCACACGCGAGCGAACTATCTTGCTTCTCCTATGCTAGTGGTTGCATACGCTATTGCAGGAACGGTTGATATCGACTTCCAAACGGAACCTATCGGTGAGTATTATTTCGGATGGGGGTTATAGAGGGGGTAGCTGGCTTCAGAATAAAAAACCAGGTTAGGGTTAGACCTTAATTTTATTCCGAGTTTCCTTATTTTAGTTCTATTACGAGTTCGGAGACTGTCTGTGTTAGTTAAGTAAATATACCCCTGCCCATAGGTTTCTGTCCCTTTACACAACTTTATGTAAAATAGGCGAACAAAATTAGTTACCGCCATATTAGTACTCGCACTTCTGGAACGCCGTTTTGTGAACTCAACGCGATCAATTCCACATCACCATTCAACCTCCATAAGTCATGATAGTTATTTTCCTGAGTGTAAATCTAAAAGGTTGTGACAACTTCGTAGTTCCAATAATGGAAAATAAATTATCTGTTTAGGTCGCAATGAAGATGGGCGAGCGGTGTATCTTCGAGATATTTGGCCGACACGAAATGAGATTCAAGAGGTTGAAAAACAATTTGTTTTGCCAAAGATGTTCACAGAAGTGTACGGAAAAATAACGGTAAAATAATTTAAATTAGAATCGTTTCCTTAATTTCTAAAATCAGAGAGATTAGCTTGTTTCTGTTAGCACCAACTCTGCAATCAAGAAGACCTGTTTGTGAGAAAACTCACGGGCAGCCATTGAAATTTCTGAAGCTATTGAAACTAATATGGTAATACGCCAGTGCATTCCCCCTCAAAAATAAATATGAAGAATTAGTCAGAAACTGTTCTCCCTTCAGATCAGGGTGGTCCAAACCCAGGCCCGCGGGCCACATGTGGCCCGCCGCTTCATTATCTGTGGCCCGCATCACATTCGGAGAGTAATCAAAAAATTGCATTTCGTGTTGTTTCGTTATAAAATTAAGCAGAAAAATCTTTTGACATATTGTCATCACTAATGTCGCTGAATTAAATAATGGCTAACTGGGAAAACTAGCGAAGTTGAATGATGTGCTTGGCAGTCTAAATTGTTATCTGGCTTTCTATCTTTTTGGTCGGGAATATAAGCTTACAATATAGGCATCATAGAAAACTAAAAATAGAATGCGGATTCTATTAGCCTAGAATGGCTATGCCTGATAAGTATGTGTTTACACAATAAAGGTGTTTGTTTTGTATTGCACTGTTTACCTATTCTTGGCACTATTATGGCCCGCGAACAATGAAAAAATAATTTTGTGGCCCGTGGAGCCGACAACCTTGGACCACCCTGCTTTAGCTTCATCATTACGCATTCAGATTTCAGAAGATCAGACGTTAACTGTCTTATCAAGGACAAGGAGGCTCCAGGACAAGGGGCAGGTATTGGATTCGAAAAAAATCTTATTTCCGAATCTCATATCGAAATTAGGCACTATTTCAGGTGTTAATATAGTTTGAATCGATATTCTTCACCCATGTATTCGAATAAAAAGTAACAAAAGTTACAAAAAGCAAAAATGTATTTTTACTCATAGTTTCAAGTTCGACTCTTATTGGTTAAAGCCCTAAAATGTCCTCCCTCCAGACTGGAGTTATTAGAATATGAGGTGCTGTGCTTCCTCACTGCCTTATCAGAAAATTTTTCAATCTTATAAATTTTCCCTATTTCTTGCTTTCAGACTGGAACAGACCAATGGAGAGCGCTCAGTGCACCATCTAGTGTCCTATACCCATGGAGAGACGACTCAACATATGTGAGGTCACCTCCATTCTTTAAAACAATGGTAAGTTCATAAAGTTTTGTCATTTTTGTGCTGTAGGTCAGAATTGGAAAGTTGCTATCTGAGAGTTGTGACTGTCCAGGACAATATCATTCTGCTTTGAAAGTGACTTTTAGTCGAATAAGCCTATGATGAATTCTGATTTGAGACGTTAACTGAGTACCGTTTTGGATAGGATCGAAATATTTATCCCGGGGGAGTAGAAAGTCGATAAGACGACTGAATCATATCGCAAACCGTCAGATTACCAGACCATGTCGGGTTACAGGTTAGTTAGCTTGATATTATGTTCCAGATGCATTCCTTTCTGATTCATTGGAGTTTGACAGGTCAGAATAGTTGTGAGTTGTGGGTTACAAGCCCAATGCCTACTTCCTCAGCCAGAATGCAACGCTAAAATAGAAACAGTCGGGTCCTAAAAATAGTAGATTTATTACAAGTACATAGGTAGGTTGGGAATGGTGATGATTCTATGATAAGAATTCTATTCGAATAAATGATCGTCGATGATTTTTGAATTTTTCAACTATTGGAAATCCACTCTAGAAGATCCTTATTCTCAGTTGTTCTGTTTGTCTGTCTGCTTATGTGTTTGGCTGTGGCATCTGCACGGCTGGACCGATCTGAATGAAATTCCTAATGTGGTTTATGCTGTCACTCTAATTACGTGTGTTTCATCGAAAGTCCGAGTTATGTGTGTTTCGTCGAAAGTCAGAGTTATGTGTGTTTCATCGAAAGTCCGAGTTATGTGTGTTTCATCGAAAGTCCGAGTTATGTGTGTTTCATCGAAAGTCCGAGTTATGTGTGTTTCATCGAAAGTCCGAGTTATGTGTGTTTCATCGAAAGTCCGAGTTATGTGTGTTTCATCGAAAGTCCGAGTTATGCGTTTTTCATCGAAAGTCAGAGTTATGCGTGTTTCATCGAAAGTCCGAGTTATGTGTGTTTCATCGAAAGTCCGAGTTATGTGTGTTTCATCGAAAGTCCGAGTTATGTGTTTTTCATCGAAAGTCTGAGTTATGTGTGTTTCATCGAAAGTCAGTTATGTGTGTTTCATCGAAAGTCAGAGTTATGTTTGTTTCATCGAAAGTCAGAGTTATGTGTGTTTCATCGAAAGTCCGAGTTATGTGTGTTTCATCGAAAGTCCGAGTTATGTGTGTTTCATCGAAAGTCCGAGTTATGTGTGTTTCATCGAAAGTCAGTTATGTGTGTTTCATCGAAAGTCAGAGTTATGTTTGTTTCATCGAAAGTCCGAGTTATGTGTGTTTCATCGAAAGTCTGAGTTATGTGTGTTTCATCGAAAGTCCGAGTTATGTGTGCTTCATCGAAAGTCCGAGTTATGTGTGTTTCATCGAAAGTCCGAGTTATGTGTGCTTCATCGAAAGTCAGAGTTATGTGTGTTTCATCGAAAGTCAGAGTTATGTGTGTTTCATCAAAAGTCTGGATTTATGTTCTGTTTCCATTTCATCAGTGAAAAAACTCACCAATTGTTGAAAAATTTCTAGTAATTTCACAATTATCGTGATTATCTCGTAAACTACCTCGAAACTTAAAATTCTGAGATCGCTACCTAAAAGCAGTGCAATATACCATTCACAAAAAGGAAACTGATGAGACACACAGCGCTCAAAATGAACTTGCAGTTTTGAGTCCCAGTCACTGCAGTATGCTGCCATATTAGGTAATTTTGCGTGGATGATAACGGTTTATTGAAGTGCAGGCCGCCTTAGTGGAGGTCCAGGGCGAGTATCGACTTGTTTCACTCTTTTTCTTACAGCTAACCAAGATTTATTTAAATCCCTTGGAATCATATAATCCTAACTAGGATACAAATGCAGCCGCTGTCAAATCCAGTTAACACCGCTGTTCTTTCTATTTCAGACTCGTGACCTCCCCTCATTTGAACCAATCAAAGACGCAAACGTTCTTTTATTCCTCGGAGATAGCGTCACTACTGATCACATCTCACCAGCAGGCTCCATCAGCAGAACTTGCCCTGCAGCCAGATACCTTGCTCAAAGAGGGTGAGTGTCAATTGCATTTTTTGGATGTTAAATTGAGAACCATGCGTTTGAAACATACAACTGTTCCATGCTTCCGAAAACAAATAACTGGCAAACTAATACCATACTGACATACTCGCCACGGAGAGGCCGTGGTTCGCCATACGATTAATCCGTCTTATCGGCTTTCCTCTACCTCGGGATAAATATTTAAATCCTATTTTCCACTTTCCTATGAGGTTAACTATTCCCATACACGACATAGGCTGGCAACTGAATGATAGAAGGTTGGTCATGTGATTGAACAGTCTTATTGTTTACTCCCTCCCATCGAATCTATGGTTTAAATCTTGTAGTCATAGAAATAGTTCTGCCTGAATTCACACAAAGTTACGAACTGACTTGGGGTCCTGTTTCTACACACAATTAAACAAGGTCTTATTGGAGGCTTTAGTATGCGAGGATTAAAAACCCCCTCTGAATCGGAAGTGGGTAACTCGGAATAAGAGGTTGGGGACCCACTGATCTAGAGCAGTGATTCTCAAACTAGGCGGCCGCATGCGGCTCTCAACAACCTTTTCTGCGGCTCTTGTTTATGCTTTGAAAATTAATTGCTTTCAGGAAAAAATTTTCATTGAAAAAACTAATCATTCACTTGAAATTAAAATGCGGAAAACTATTAGTTAGTCGAATGGATTCCCCCGTGTTTATTTGCGTAGCGTTGACTAATCTACAAGATGTAATAGTGACGCAGCAGTAAGCGTTTTTGCGGCCACTCGAAAGATTTTAGACGTGGCTGTAATCTCGAGCTTGCTTCCGAGGAGGATTCAGTTTTTGTCCCATTTTCGAATATTATGTATAAATCAAATAACTCAATGATTATTTTATTTTTTCGAGAGCATTTTAATTTTGCGCTTAAGGTTTGTTGCTATTTTACCTTGCGTTGTTTGTGTGCGGCTCTTCATAACTTTCTCTGGGACTAAAAAGGTTTGATCTAGAGACATAAAATGGACTAATTTCATAAAATATAAATTTCAGGTTGAAACCTAAGGATTTTAATTCCTATGGAAGTCGTCGTGGTAACGATGAGATCATGGCAAGAGGTACATTCGCCAACATCAGATTGAAGAATAAATTGATCGGTAAAGAAGCCCCAAAGACTATCCATGTTCCTTCAGGAGAAGTGGTAAGAGTTTGAATTGGACTTGTGATAAAGATGGATAGATTTATTCTGTGGGGAAAGGAACAGTGGTGGGATTCAACCGGTTCGAACTGGTTCTATAGAATCGTCTCCCGGAATTTTATGAGATCAGCGAACCGGTTAGCATTACTGAAAAAACATATAACAGAACCGGCTGAAAAATATGACTTTTGTGAAGGAACCGGCTGACATAAAATTTGAATTCCACCACTGGATATGAAAGATGTTAATAAGGCTTATTCATATGGCTTCCTCGTCCAGTTACAAGTCCACATCGAGTATGGGGTTGGTTAGCCTGTTATTTGTTGTCAGATACATAGACTCAAGGGTGGAGGAAACCACCCTACGACGGCGAGGAGTCCAGCAAACTTCTCGCACATACCTATCCCTGCATGGTATTCGAACCCGTGAACCCAAGCAGGGTAATCAGCAGAGCAGAGGTGTGGTTGCGAGTGGATTTATAATGCTTGGCACGATGCTTAACACTTAATTGATAAATTAGAAACCTGAAGTACCGTACATTGATGCATGGTGCCGGAGAGGCGGAAACCGAATCCTGTTTTCGGATTCTGTTTGATTCGAATACTTTGGGATACGAATCCTTGGGATTCGGTATTCTATATTGCCCATCCTTAGCGAGGAGTCCAGCAATGTTCTCGCACCTAACCATCCCTGCATGTTATTCGAACCTGCGAACCCAAGCGAAGTAATCAGAGGTATTATAAAAAAATCGCACGAAGTTGTCTTCTTCAAATAAAACTCCAGACAAGAAGACTTAATTAATAATAACTCTATTTTTTTTAGATGGACGTGTTCGATGCCGCCATGAGATACAAGGATGAATCCCGTCAGCTAATTATCATAGCAGGAAAAGACTATGGAAGTGGATCGAGCAGAGATTGGGCTGCTAAAGGTCCATGGATTCTGGTAAGACGGTTTCCTCTTATTTCGAATAAAATCTGGCGTTATTGAATTATGGGTACTCCCGTATTGTGTTTACCATGTTAGGGTTAGAGCACGATTTGATTCTGATTTTCCTTATTTTAGTTCTATTACGAGTTCTGGGTCTGTCTGTGTTAGCCAAGTGAATATATCCCCTGCCCATAGGTTTCTGTCCCTTTACATTACTTGATGTGAAGTAGGCGAACAAAATTAGTTACCTCCATATTGGTACACACACTTCTGGAGCGCCCAATTAGGGATGTAGGAAGGACTTTGGCTACCTGTAGCAAAGGTGCGGCCAGGAACTTTTAAGGGGGGGAGGGGGCTGAAATTTCTAATTGTCAAGTCAGACCGAGACAGCTAGCGGGTAGTCTTGAGGGTCTAAAAAGCGTTTCAAGCAAAACTGCTATGTGTGATACAGAAAGATGCTTTTTCATTTTTTTACATCATAAATCCTATCCCTTCTCCATGGCTACGTCTTGAACTGTAGCCATGCAAGAGAAACATGACTGCCATATACCATATTTGACAAGGTAAAAATAAAGCTAATCAAGAACAAGAATTTATTATATAGAATGTAACCAATTTGAGTGTAATCCATTCGTTTTAGAATTCTTTTTATTTAATTTTATTCTAGTTTTTTATTTATTTTTCAATATTTTACTCGTCAAAAAAGACGAGATTCAACCCCGCTTTCGTGAGATATCGCATAGGATACAAAAGCGTCCAACAAATAAACAAATACCTTTCAACATACTTATCGAGATTGATAAGTAATAAAGCTATTCAAGAACAGATATAACCAATTTGGAATGATTGATATCCATTTGTTTCAAAAATCCGTTCTTCAATTTTATTTAAGATTTTATAAATATGCTTTTTATTTATTAGGGAGTTCGTGCAGTCATAGCAGAATCATTCGAGCGAATCCATCGTTCAAATCTTGTTGGCATGGGAATAGTTCCGCTTGAATTTAAATCAGGAGAAAATGCCGAGTCGCTTGGTCTGACAGGAAAAGAACGATTCAGCATAAATATTCCAGAAGATTTGACGCCAGGGGCTTCAGTTGCTGTTTTGGTAAGAGTCGATATTTCAATTTCTAGGGGGCAGCATAGAGCTTTGATTGGTGAGAGTCGCAAAAAAGTTAAAATGATTTACGTTCGTTGCATTGTTGAAAACGGTTCCATTACATTTGAACCCACGTACATTTGAACCCATGGCAATTGCACCTGTATGCTATTGCACCCATGGAATTTTTTTTGTTTCACGGATAGTTAAACCCATACTAACCCTAACCCATGGGTTTTAGCACCCGCATATAGATTGAACCCGTTGATATACGCATGGGTTCAAATGTACATGGGTTCAAATGTACGGTCACCTTGAAAACATGCTTTTCGATTGCGCTTTTGATTACTCTGTGTGAGTCCATGCATTTGAAACGGTAAAAACTTCACGGACATCTCACTGTCGAAGGGTGGTTTACTCATTCACTGGTCATGTGCTAACTTTGAAATCCATGCGTATAAAATGATGAGTTCATTAACTATGACTTGGCGCGTCATGCAAAGCATTAAGAATATGCTCACCACCTCCCCGAATACCCTGTGCGAGTTCGCAAGTTCGAATCCCATGCGGGTATAATTATGTTCGAGAGGACTGTTGGACTCCTCGCCGCCGTAGCAGGGGCGGACACTTTCCATAATTTTGGGGGGGCGAACTTGGATCGCCTACCGAAAAACACCGCGCCGTGTATCGTCACGTAACAATAACCTGTCGATGTCATTCTCTAAGTATTAGCATGTCATTTTGCTACTCGTATATCGAGTACCTAGGCTGCTTTGCTCGGACACGGAACTTGCGCGTTACTGAACCAATTTCTTGAATTCCGCGAGAATTAGCCCACGGCTCTTGCTAACAAACAGAAAATAACAAATTTGAGGAGTCGTATTAGGTTATTGTTTCAATTCCTAGTTCTGCATAAAGCGCACTAACGCCGTTTAGTAAAATTAGAAATGCAAAACAAGGTAACAAGCTATTGTGCGAATTTTTCAGAGTCGGAACTTCCCATTGCCGTCTGCAACAAGCACCGCGATTACGCGCTCGTTAAAAGAGCGCTTATTTTAGCGTATAATGATTTTTCTGTCGATCCATGACAGCCACGAGATTCTAAAATGTTCTTATATATTAATTTAATAGTGTGCAACGTAACTCGAACACGTAACTCAAAATAAAAATATTACTAAACTACGGCGTACCACGGCGATATGTGGACATAAAAATATGAGATAAGCTGCCTGATGTATTTAATTTTGATACCTATTTTTGCAATCTTCCGAACTCGTTATCGCCGTTACAAAAATCTCGATATCTGATATAAAATCCCATATAGTACAATTTTAATTCATACAATGAAAATAATTATAAAGTATACTAGTAAATCGAAAATACAAATTCACCGCCTCGAAATCCACGCGGAACAGTCGCCGCGATTACGCCATTTGTTAAAAGAATCGACTATATCAACGAAAAATGATTTTTCACTTGTGCAAAGTAATCAATCAAAGACCGATACGGGCATATTCAAAATGTCTTGATTTATTAATTTAATTGTCTTCAATTTAAACTGCGGCTGAGTCGACAAAACAAGAGCCACTCTAAAACACGACGGCAATCCGCGGACATAGAAATGTGTGGTAAGCTGCCCGTTTATATATTGTTTTGATCCGTGCCCGTTTATATATTGTTTTGATCCGTATTTTTGCTATTTTGCGAATTCGATAAATTTGAGATGTACTTGTCACACTGGCTCCGCTCAATCGCGATGTTGTCACTCCAATTATTTTTAAAGATAAAACCTTATCGAAAAATCCATAAATTTTCTGTCAATTCTCACGTAGTAAAAGTTATTTCGGTACAATAAAAATATATAAATAAATACAAAAAGTGATCAAATATACTTTAATTATCTTATATATCATCATAAACCGGGGAAAAGTCGCGTTCTCAGCCTTGTTTGTTAACACGAAAATTTTCGACGTCAATTTAAAAGTAATGGATAAAAAGGCAAATCCCGCTCACAATTGACCGTGTTTCGATTTTAGTGACGAAATGTTTTTGAAGGTCAAGCAAACATAATTTGTACCGTAGGCACACGAAATTTTGCGATTTTCGATGCCTAGAAAAGCGTTTTTAGACTGTCGCGGGCCTCAACAAAACTTATATTGTTTACAGTTTTATTTTTAGTATTTTATATTGCTGCTTTCCAACTTTTCGACATAGTAAATGCTTTGATCTTTGCCCGCAAATTATGCTGGGCCTTGCACGAAATCCACAACGTGAAAAGATACGTACAGCGGTGAAAATTGTTTATAACAACTTTAGATCTAGTTAATTTTTTAGCGATAATAATTAATTGTTGTCATGAAACATAGTTTGCCTCTTTCACTTCTCTCGCAAGTGCCAACAATAACACTATTGAAAGATTTTGACAATGAGAAAACCATATTAAATTGTACAAAAATGAATTAGTTGTGCAAAACCGTGGCGCGTGATCAGCGGTGCGTTTGAAGACGGGAGTATTACCCGCGCGGGCGCGCATGTTTCACGAAAATGTGAGGTGCTCCAAGGCGCTCTGGTCCACATTATTGTAAGAAAACAGTTATAATATCGGTAACTATTAACCGTTTAATTGCGCTTGACTGTCGCACTTTTCGGAAATGATAATTTTGTAAGGTGGAAACAATATGTATCAAATTTTTTAAGAAATTATTGGGGGGGCGACTCGTCCCTGCGCCGTAGGATGGTTCACGTAACTGGTGATCGATTACGGCTTCCTAGAATTTGTGGTTTTAGTTCGGCATAAACGAACGAGTATTCGCGAGATGACTTGCACTCATATCGTACCTATCTTTTGCAAAATTTTCTCTCTCTCCCCTGAGATTGTGCTATCAACCACTTTGAGAAAACTGTCCAAAAATTGACTTCAATTATTATCTCATTTCAGAGCGACTCTGGTAAAGAATTCAAAGCAATTGTGAGATTCGACACCGATGTTGAACTTGAATATTTTAGGAATGGAGGAATTTTAAATTATATGATCCGGTCTATGATTGGTTGAAAACGGTCATGCATGAATGATTTAAAGATTAATTATGTTAATATAGGCTTTGTACAATTCTGCTTATATATCTAATCGTTGCTATAAGTGCCATCTTCAAGTTGCAATACAAATATCTTGTTACAATATATGAAATAGGCCTAACTCCTGAGTAAGTGTTTCTCAAACTTTCATGATTTGCCGCCCCCTTTTCAAAGACTCTTTTAAAACGTGATACCCCCAGAAGAATACTTGGTTTAACTTTCAACATGTTTCCATCAGGGTCGTAGCCGGTTCGGGGATTTTTGAAATGTAAAAAAAAGCATTTTACTGTATCATATTTCGTTTCCATGACAGCTGCGAAAAAACATGCCGATCATTAAAAATTTTCCATTTTTTATAATTTTTCGCTTAATCAACCAAGTCTAATATAGAAATTCCGAGAATGAAGAAAATCCGCGGAAGAAAATACGCTTTCTTGTCCCGATAGTCCGTAAACTGAGAAAGCTTCAGAAACTTTAGTGAACGTATCGCGCGAAGATAACTACCAGATGTACAGCGCTCAAAATGAACTGGCACTTTTGGTACAATTTTCGGTAGTCCCGTAGTATATGTACCAGGTTAGGGTTAGGCCATAATTTTATTCCGATTTCCCTTATTTTAGTTCCATCACGAGTTCGGGGACTGTGTGAACGGGAACCAGGTGAATTATACCCCCTGTCCATAGGTTTCCATCCCTTTACAAAACTTGAGGTGAAGTAGACAAACAAAATGAGATACCTCTGTATTGGTACATACACTTTTGGAGCGCCCATTTTTCACTGCACAATATTGCTGGCGGGCGGATATCCCTGCATTGACGGGGATCTATACTGGGCGCCTACCGGCTTGTTTTTATCACTTTTGAAAAAAATATATTTGAAGTGCGATGTATGGTCCGTAAAAGGTTCTCCCGAAATATACAACCTGAACTTAGTATGTGACTATGTGTACCGGGTTAGGGTCATCAGGTTGTGCGTCATCTTGGTGCATATACCTCTGGAGCGCTCCGTAAAATACGTTGCACCCTACGTATTTAGAGGACACTCGTGAAGCGCTTTTTCGAAGTCCACTAATCATATACTGTTGTCACAAATGCAGAAGTTATAGCATTGACTAATCAGCATAAATCATTATCACGGAAATAGAGTGGGATGTGAAAAAATCATGCGCTCACTTCATGCTGCCGTCGCGCGCAACGTGCTGGTTCTTAATGTACTTTGCGGTGGCGTGAAAATATATAATAAAAAAAGTTTAAAGTATAAAGGAAAAATGCTGTTAAGTGTGGTACCGCAAAACATGAAGTCACGAGACTGGTACTTAGGGGTATCGGAATTTTAGCGGAAGTTTTAGCGCCATCAGATTTGGTGCCAGTCGGGCTTTTCAAGAAATGTGAAAAGATCATTCATGTCACGAATGCTGTCGCCAAGTACGCCGAATCCAAATCACCTGAATTCCATAAAGGTACCCAAACGGCTGCTCTGCTCGTTATATTTGGTATCGCGAAGGGGACGTTTTTGTCCCCCTAATTCGATGCCAAATTGTAGTTGCATTTGATGATGCGTTCTGGGATAAATATGAGAAAAAAAGTTGGAATAAAAAGACTTAGAATTGTTATCTTGCGATTAAAGTTTTTTGCGAAGCACACCAGAACTTTTCAAACAAAAAGATTAACCGTATACCTATACACTTGCCGCCTGTTTCCTGGTTCTGATACAAGATAGAGAATATAGATTTCAAAATCACATCCAAATTGAAGTTATATCACTGTGGTTTACTCACAGTTCTTAAGGTATTCATCCAAAATGCTTCCGCTTTAATTGCATGACTATTTCATAGCAATGCTTATCGTTATAATCATAATCATAAAAGCCAGTTGCGGGCGACGCCTATATTCATTTCTGGAAGGAACCTTTTAGGAAGTTTAGACAAACTTCACAATGTCAGATGCCAAGGAAATTTACGAAATAACTGAAAAGTTTAACATTGAGGATTGGAAACAATTTGCTAGAACAAAGTTGGAGGTAGCAAACACAACTATTGAAGAAATCGAAAGTAAATATAAAAACCAACTCAAAGAAATCAAATATCAAACCGTTTGCCATTGGCAGGGAAATTTAAAGGGTTTCGAACTATGCGATGAACTTAAAAGACACAAGCATGAGTACTTCTGTGGAAGCTACAGCGAGCAAGTGGTCAGTTCAGTACCATCGTATGTAGTGGAAGAGGCTTCAGGAGACAAAGCAGGGGCCGCTGCAGCTCTTCCTTCCGAAGGGGAACCCACGAGAGAAACATACGAGCCAGATGTTTATTCGTTATATAACAAAAAGGGACGCGTATTGATAATAAGCAACTCGTTTCATGATCAAAATAAAAATTTTAAAAGCAGAAAACCAGGGTGCGACAAGGACGTGGAAAAGATGGTGAAACTGTGGAAACACCTGGGCTGCGAGCTGTATCTACGAAAACCTCATGTAGACAAGTCAGCTTCGGAGATGTGTGGTCTTCTGAGAGGAGTGACCCAATTACCAAAATCTGAATGTGCGTTTGTGGTGGTAATAATAATGACACACGGTGATTTAGATAAAGACGGAAATGAAGTCGTGTGCGGAAACGACGGTATTGGTATACCCAAAACAGTTATCGATAGCATGTTTAGGAATGATAACGCCATAGACCTTCACAATATTCCTAAATTTTTCATAAACCAGTGGTGTCGAGGACGTCGAGATATGATACCAATTCCTTGTGAAGAAAATGGTTTGAAAGTTGAAGCGTGTGCTAGTGAGACAATACCTGTCATCTGCGATACTGTCACCATTCATTCCGCACCTGCAGACCACGCTGCTTATATATCGAAAAATGGCTCTTTTCTGATCAAAGCGATATACAACATTTTCTGGAAATATGGAAAACCAGATGTTAAAAACGCTATTGCACGGAAAAACGTCGTGGACATGCTGTCATTGGTGAACGCTGAGATGTGGAAAGAGTTCGGGATTTCGGAAGGTGTGCCAATAAGGCCGATGTCTGTATTCGAGTCGAGCTTGGTGAAAACTTTCTACCTGACCAATTAGACTACCAGGCCACTCAATGGTTCTCAGCGAAATAAAAAGATTGAGGACCACTGGATTAGACTCATTTTATAGCAGTAATTTATTTTTTTGCCAAGCTGAAAGTACACATTCTACATACAAAATGAAATAATAGAAAGAAAAATTGAGTCTATGGATAAAGAAAACGCGATAAAACAGCGCTGGTTATCAAGCAGCGACATCGATGACAAAAATTTAAACTTGACAATCTAAAACTTTCATAGCGAATCAGCAATACATTCGATATGTTTTTTTCTTGACCGTGGGACATGAATTGCTCAAACCTTTTACCAACTGCAATCTACAATCGCTGTGTTGAACCATCTTGTGGATTTTATGTATCTCTTAACGCGCAATACTTCCTATGATTGCATTTTTTCAGTTGAAGACTAGAATCCCTACTATATGAGACCTTAGTTACTTATGTACTCACCTATAAATAATAATGAAAACATGGAAATGTACTTTTTTTACTGTAACCTACTATAGTTGCTTATGTACTCACCTTAGCTTATGTACAACCTTAGTTTCTTATGTACTCACTAATAACTCACTTTACATTTTCAGCGTCATTTATTTATTTTTTGTATGATCCGAAGACTGCAATATGTCTATAGGATTTTTGACAAGAGCCTTGAAATTGGGCTTTGCCGTATTCCTAATACAGTATTCAGTGTTTTCATAATATGAATTGTTTCGCAATAATTGAGCCGGAGCAAAATCCCACTCCATAAAAACGAATGTTTTCAAGATAAAAAAGAGAGAGGCGATTTTAACGAGCGATATGAAATATGTGTGATCATTTTCAAGGCGATTTTCGAAAACAATTGTCATTCTAAGTCATACTTTTTCATTAATAATAAGTTAGAAGTGTTTCTATGTGACTTAATTTTATTGTAACATATATTGAAGGAAATAAAATCTTATAGAGGCATCCTCTTGTTTCTTACTGTTATATCAAATTATCGCCACTCAAGGAGTATGTATACCAAGGGAGGTAACTAATTTTGTTCGCCTACCTTACATCAAGTTGTGTAGAGGGACTGAAACCTATGGGCAGGGGCTATATTCACTTGGCTAACACAGACAGTCCCCGAACTCGTAATGAAACTGAAATAAGGAAAATCGGAATCAAATTATGGCTTAACCTGGTACATACACTACGTGAGTACCAAAACGTCACCAGCCATTATCATAAAGCCTACATATGTTACAAATGCAGAAGTTATATCATTTACTAATCGACATAAATCATTATCACGGAAATAGCGTGGGATGTGAAAAATCACGCGCTCATGCTGCCGTCGTGCACAAATTTGGAGCCAGAAGTATGTGCACCAAGATGGCGCACAACCTGATAACCCAAACCTGGATCACATACTATGTTCAGGTTGTGCGCCATCTTGGTGGACAAAGTTCGGGAGCACCCAAATTTGCTTTAGTTTTTGGACGAGTAGGAGACCGGGTACATAAGTTTGGCCATTTGAGAACATGACTAGAAGAGACATGTGAAATATAATTTATACGTCCTGAGCTATTTTGTGTGTTTGAAATTTTATCAAAAATGCAAGATCAAAGATTTGAAATTCATCTTATAATTGTTGTCTCGTTGTTTTGCGAATCAGAAATTTTCAATCCCAAATGATCTCAAATTCCGCTCTATTTGAATAACTGTTTCATAACAATGGGTATCGTCACAGTGATAAAAACAAAAGCCCACTGCGGGCGACGCCGATGCCCATTATCCATCCATTGAAGGGGCCTTTGACAAAGACAAACGTTACGATGACTGGTAACCACGGAGTAATTGAAGAATTCAAAAGTCGACTGCGGTCGAGACCCGATATTCATTTCTGGAGAGGAACCTTTAGACAAATGTTACAATGTCGGATGCCTCTAAAGTTTACGAAATAACTGAAAAGTTTAACATTGAGGATTGGAAACAATTTGCTAGAACAAAGTTGGAGGTAGCAGACACAACTATTGAAGGAATCGAAAATAAATATAAAAACCAACTCAAAGAAATCAAATATCAAACCGTTTGTCATTGGCAGGGAAAATTAAAGGGTTTCGAACTATGCGAGGAACTTAAAAGACTCAAGCATGAGTACTTCTGTGGAAGCTACAGCGGGCAAGTGGTCAGTTCAGTACCACAGTATGTAGTGGAAGAGGCTTCAGGAGACAAAGCAGGGGCCACTGCAGCTCCAACTGGCGAAGGAGAACCCACGAGAGAAACATACGAGCCAGATGTTTATCCGTTTAATGGCAAAAAGGGACGGGTATTGATAATAAACAATTCATTTTATGATAAAAATAGGAAAGAAAATCCGGATAGCAGAAAACCAGGGTGCGACAAGGACGTCAAAAATATGGAGGAACTGTGGAAATATCTGGACTGTGAGTTGCATCAGGGAAAATCTCATGAAGATCTATCAGATTCGGAGATGCTCAATCTTCTGAAAAGCGTAGCACAATTAACAAAAAGTGACTGTGCGTTTGTGGTAGTAATAATAATGACACACGGTGGTTTGGACCAAGACGGAAATGAAGTCGTGTATGGGAATGGCGATGAAAATATACTCAAAAAAGATATCGACAGCATGTTTCAAAATGATTATGCAAAATTTCTTCACGATATTCCAAAATTTTTTATAAACCAGTGGTGTCGAGGATATAAAGAAATGAAAGCAATTTCTCGTAAAGAAGAAGGTCTGCAGTTTAAAAAAGAAGCACTTGATGATAAGACAATACCTAAAATCTGCGATATTGTCACCATTCATTCCGCACCTGCGGACCACGCAGCTTATATATCGGGAAAAGGCTCTCCTTTGATCATGGCGATATACAAAATTTTCCGAAAATTCGGAAAAGCAGTTGCTGAAAACGACTTTGTACGGAAAAACGTTGTGGACATGCTGTCTATGGTGAACGCAGAGATGTGGAAAGTGTCCGGGACTTCGAAGAGTGAGTCAGTAAGGCCGATGTCTGTATTCGAGTCGAGCTTGGTGAAAACTTTCTACCTGACCAATGAGACTAGCGAAAGAAAAAGGTCGAGAACCATTTGACTAGACTCCTTCTAATGCAGTAATTTATTTTTTCATCAAACTGAAAATACACATTGGACATACAAAATAAAGTGAAAAAAAAACAAGAGAGCTATGCTCAAATATATGGACACGTAGAGTCACATAATTTTGATGACGTCATAACGAAAAAAAAAGTAATAGCCTTCTGGAGAAAATTTTTATCTTTAACCACTGAAAAATCAAAGCAATTGGTCCAGTATTCGAAGAGAAAAGCGACTTTTTAAAAACGTGTCAAAGAACATGAACAACAACAACAACAACATAATATTGAAACGATCGTTATGTCCACTACGTGTCCAAAACACGAATTTCATGATAAAAGAAAACGCGTTAAAACCTCTTACTTTCGGGCAAGCATTTAACCGCTTATGAAGATATGGCCCTATGATTGTGAGTTAAGAGTTAATATCCTTCATGTTCACGCCGTATCGTGGACTAAGTCATAACAAAACCAATAAGAAACTTTCTGCTTATGCTTTCTGCTATATGCTTGTCCGATGTTCGTTTTCACGGTAGCGCGTCATTTTTCTTTATTATATTTTCAATTTTACGAGTTTTATATCTTATAAGTATTTGAAAAGCAAAAAAATATACAATGAATCTGTTCCTATTTGAACGAAATTAATTTGAGCAAACGAGCATTCGATTTCGACTTGTAAACAAGCTAAAAAATGATTACACGCACAATAATAAACAAACAATGATTACGTCCGCGAGAAATTCCTCGCGTCGACAAGCGTTCGTTGTTTCTTTATTATCTAGAGTTCCACGCCGTCTAGAATAGCAGGTTTAGACTTGTCTGGTAGAAGACGTAATTGTCCTTTTTGAGAGAACTGGTTGTCGAATCGGTTTCGCTTGGATTGATCACACCGATAGTAAAACAAAACTTTTAAAAAAAAAAAAATCTCTCATTTTCAACGTAACACGGTCTAGCGAATAGCACACGCTATTCGAAAAACGTCTGGCATAAAGCGACGAAATACCGCATTCCGATGAAATTAAAAGTGAAGGCTCTCGCACGTTTGAACAAACAGTTATGACAATTTTTAGAAGGGGTATACAAAATTATCCAGCAGATTCGGCTGCATAGGGATTTATAAACCAGCACTGGTTATCGAGCAGTGACACTTATGGAAAGAGTTTAAACTTGACAATCTAAAACTTTCATGGCGAATCAGAAGTACATTCGATATGTTTTTTTCTTGACCTTGAGATTAGAATTGCTTCAAACCCTTTTACCAACTGCAATCTAGAGTCACTGTGTTGAACTATCTTGTGTATTTCCTGCATCCCATAGCGCGCAATACTCGCTTTAATTGCATTTTTTCCATTAATAGCTTGAAACCCTACTATATGAGACCTTAGTTACTTATGTACTCACTTATAAATAATAATGAAACAGGGTGCTCCAGAAGTATGTGTACCAAGATGTCGCAAAGCCTGAATTCTAACAGATACACAATACTATGTTCAGGTTGTGCGACATCGTGGTGCACATACTTCTGGAGCTCCGAAAAAAACATGAAAATGTCCTTTTTATTTTACTGTACCCTACTATAGTTGCTTATGTACTCACCTTAGCTCATGTACGACCTTTGTTTCTTATGTACTCACTAATAAATATTATTAAAAACATGAAAAAAATGTAATTTATAGCTCAGTTTTTGTCTTGCTTTTTCGATCTGCAGATTTTACTATTTTTTCCTGATTAACAAAACTTATAAAATCGAACTTTACATTTTCAGCGTCATTTATTTATTTTTCGTATGATCCGAAAACTGCAATATGTCTATAAGATATTTGACAAAAGCCTTGAAATTGGGCTTTGCCGCATTCCTAATACCCAATGTTTTCATAATATGAACTGTTCCGCAATAATTGAGCCGGAGCAAAATC